GTGGGTCACTGAGTGTGGGATGGTCAAGTCCACCAAGGAGCTGCAATGCTCAAAAGCGTTATCCCCAATGTGGGTGACTGAGTCCGGGATGGCCAAGTGCACCAAAGAGCTGCAAAACGAAAATGCTCGATCTCCAATCTGGGTCACGGAGCTTGGGATGGTCAATTTGGCCAATAATTTGCAGTGTTGGAAAGCACACTCGGCAACTTGCGTTTCAGAGTCTGGAATTTCAATCACAAGGGGCAGCTCCAAATCAACGTCGGTCCCCAAGGTGGTGATGGCATCTTTGTCAGCGCATCTTGCGGTGTTTGCATTGAAAACGATGCTCACAACAGCATCTGCCGTGAGCCCTGTTTCCAAAACCCTCACATCATTGGCCAGCAGTCGGTTGTCTCCAAGAATGATCTCCACACGAGTGGTCTTCCGAGTAAGGTCGTCCCAGCGCTGTCCTTCTTTGATCTGCTCCTTTAGCTCTGCACCGGTCATCCCTGGCGTAGCTTCGAGACACATCATTTCACCACTGGCCTGTAGTGCTGAAAGCCTCATCACCATGGCTGACTTATGCTCACTCTGACCTGTCTTCAAAAAGAGTCTAGTCAAAGTCTTCAATGATTCAAAGCTGAGCTATGTTCTACGGTGCCCCGACCTCAGGTTGCAGCATGCCCAGATCCGTCTATGCCGGTCCGAGCATAGCTCCTCCAACCCCGCCTTGGGGCCTTCCAAAAAAGGCGGCGCCGCTCAAACGGTGCTGTGCAGAGGTGCCATCGCCGGTTTGGCAAATTGACCTAGATTATGGGGGAATTGGGTTTCCAAGACGATGCCAATCACATCCTCATTCTATGTCAGTTGTCTCGACCGAACGACCGACTCGACCTCCCTCACTCCCCATGTGCTCGTCCACTCGGACTCAGCATCAAAAGACGGGCCTTCGGATGTGTGCACACTGGTTACTGCCATGCTGGGCGCCAGTCTAAATCGTCATCCAAACTGGCAAGATGATGAGAAACCTACGACAGCAAGGCAACCTACGGTGACCTACGATCACTTCCCTCTCGCCCAAAAAACGTATACGGTCATCTTCAGTCCCTGAACATCTGCCACGAATCGACTGGCACTGGCCCACCAGACACCAGGCACTGGCGCCAGGGAAGTCCACACTGGACCCCCTGAAGTCACCTCTCCTGAGCTCCCTGGCGCGAGTTCACCACGCACGCCGGCCACCAGCTTCTCGTTGAAGCGGGTCCACATCCCCTCGGACGATTTCGCGGCACCGGGTGGGTTTTCCTTGGGCCTTCCGTGTCGGCTTTTTCGAACGTGCAGAAACGGAGCTCGCGCCGGAGGAGTGCAACTGGCTGTTTGGAATGCATCTAACTCGCCCATCTCGCGTGCGCATCTGGGCCATTCGTCCTTGAGGTGCTACAGAGCAGGTGCCGTTTTCGCTCACTTGAAGCTCTCTCTACCAGCACCTCCAACAGGTCACCAATTGAAACCTGTTAGGGCCAAACAACCCTCCATCCAAAGGAGACCTGTTGGAAGGTGCTGGTATCTTCATGACCAATCATGAAATTGCATCAAATTGGACTCCGTCTGAACAGTTCCCGCACCAAATGCACAAACGACCAACGAAAGAAACGGCACGCCTCCTCTCACTCCCCCAAATTTCCAAAGCCTCCCCTCAAATCGCTGCAAAAACGATTCTCACCTAGGTTTTTGTTGGGTCATTTGCATGATCTGCAGCTCGACCTGGACCGGTTCATGGACCGAACACAGCAGCGCGCACGCGCTGGGTGAGCGCCCGGCGTGCTGAATGGAGCGCAGGTCCAGCTCGCAACGGCCCAGGGAGACATCCTTGAAGTTGTTGGAATCCATGACCTTGAGGATTCCAGGCGGGTCATCCAGGTTTGACTCTCATGACTGGATGACTAAGACATGGACTAAGAACATCACACAGGGTTTGACAGAAGGTTCAAGACACGTCTTCTGTCCAATCTTCTCACAGCATCTGAATCATGCGAAGATCTTCCTTCTCAGAGTCAGGTACTTGCTTCTTTGACCTCATTTCGCTACCAACCGGCTGCAAATTGGAGGGCTGCCCCCGACATGTGGCGTCAAACCCTGGAGCCCTGCTCCACGTTGCAGCCCGACCTCCCAGGTAGATGAACCGGTCTCCGGTCTCCAGCTGAGCCTTCTCCCACCCGCCTCGAGCTCCACCTTGTTGTCCTCCGCCCCCACTGAGAAGCTGAAGAGGTTCTTCTCCTCCCAGGTGTGCCGCCCCGGCCACGGGCGGGTGCAGAGTCAAGCGCAAGGGACACCACACGAGATGAGACCTGGACCTGGTCTCCGTGTTTCGGTGTCTGCCATCTGCCAACCCGGACCCGCAAGCGGGTCAGAGGAAGCCCAACGCTTTCAGACGACCCCATTCCTCCCCTGTGCAAAAACAACGAGATCTCGATCAGAAGCAGAAGTTGGAGACCACAGACTTCTTGGCACCCTTCGGTACTTGGTATGCCTTTCCAGGAGAAATTTGTCTGTCGTGTACATGGAAAACCTGGTCGACCACCATGGTCATTCGGGGAAAGAACCCGTGCTCCTTCCAGGATCCCCAAAAAAAAGAACCATCCGTTTCACATCGACCTGATCATCTCTTGTGGAGAGTCTCAACGCCGCGGAACGTCGACCATTCCCCATGGCAGGCATCTGGTGGAACCGCAGCGCCCGCCTTGCCTGCAGCTCCCCAGGAGGTCTGACCCGGCAACACGGTCCAGTCGGATGTCGCGAGCCCGACAGCTCCTGCCACACCGGGTTCAAGGTATTTTTGAGGACCTCGGTCTTCTGCTCCGTGTTGGCCACCCGCAGCACCACATAGGGATCCGACCTCGACGTGATTGTGATGGGTAGAATGTCCCACCACAGGCGGCCGGGCACAGGAAGAAAGACAAAAGACATGGAATGACGTGGATGAACACCCAAAGGCCAATCCAAAGCAATCAGAGTCCGATCGAATTTACCGACTGTGTGCCGTTCTGATTGTGATGGGTTTTCGCTTACCACCCAGCAGTTCTCTTTTCAAACCTGGGCGGCGTTTGCATCAGCTCAACCCCTAAATCAATTGAACCGAAATGCCGCAGGTGACTCCAGGTCTTCATCAGCCTTCCACTTCATCTTCGTTCAGCTTTCTGGACTGAAAGAAGCTCCGGTTTGAGGTGAGAAGACAGCTCCGAGCGTTTCTGGTATAAAGCTTCTTCCACACCTTTCAACCATGGATTTGGAGAAAATGGATACATGTATAATCATTAATGAATATCAGTACATCCCACATAAATAGATAGAAAAGTAGTAGATGCCCCCCACATTCAGAATGTTTTGGAAAGCGTGGGGTGCCATTGTCTATTTGGAAAGCACCTCTATTTCAAGACTGGTAGGCTCTTCGATCTCATTCCCAACGCCCCGACAGTCACGGCCCGTGAAGTGTGTGACGTCCGAGACGGAAAGGTCTTCCAAGACGTCCGCTGGTGGCCTTTGGCCTTTAAGGTGGGCGGGCGTTTTGTGTCCCACAAAGCTGGCTTCAGAAGACCACACAGAAGACGGCCTGTGTGGCCATAGCAAAAGGTCCAAAGGGTTTCTTGAGAATGCCATGTCAGCAATCTGTTTCATCTATCCTATGTTTGGCAATCTTCTAATTCCAACCAGCACTCACCACAGGCTCTCCTTGATGGAGACACCCTGATGGGTCAACCGTTCAACGGTGCGCCCGAGCGGCACGTCCCCGAAGAGGCCCGAGTCCACGTTCGTGAGGTTCGCCGCGGAGTTCACGCCTGGACTGCGGATGCATCACAGCGTAGCGGTGAGGGCAAGGGCGGGCCGGGCGGTGGAAAGGCAGGGCGCTCCACCGAGCAAACTGGAAGAGCTGAAACAAATGTCAAGTGCAAGCGATTGCTCGCCCTGTTCCGTCAGTTCCAGAGATGGTCAACCTGTTCTCGTCTCTGGTCGCCACTTGTGTTCTCAATGTGAACAACCGCGGCCCTCCGGGAAATGTGCCCTGTAGTCAAGCACAGGTCTTCAACACCATCTTCGTCATGTTCATGGTTTGTGTAATTAATATGTATGTTTGTAGGTTGTCAAGGCTATGCTGCTCAAATGCGTTTGAGGAAGAAATCCTGCACCACCTGAGGATTCCAAAGCCCTGCAGATGCTATGAATCCATGATATGCATGGTGCCACTGATCGGGTTTTGCTCATTGTCTCACTGATCATGTCGCTTTGGCGCGCTGCACTCGTGCTAGGCGTGCACTTCATGAAGTACGACATGTCGTTGCCCCATACTCAACTCAACCAAATGTAGCCTGTTTTGAGGCCTGTTTTGAGGCCTCCTAAAAATTCCCGACGGATCCCCTCCTGTTCCCCCCAGTGATTGGATGGTCCCGTTTCCTCCTTTTTGGTGGGCCAACCCCACGGTTTTACGCTTTTCCCTCCCTCCCAGCGGTCAGGTACGCATTGAGGGTACCCAGGCGGATTTGAAGCACCTGCCCGGGCCGAGCGGTAGCGGTACCGCTCGTGCTTACCTCGGTACCCCCTGGTGCAAACCTGTGGGGCCCTCTTCAGACCAACTAAACCAAACTCATGCAGCTTCACAACTTGTGGGAGTGAATTCCACCGTGGACTTCGGAGAGAAGTCCTGCTACCTTCTGTGGAAAAAAAGCATCGCCCTGATTCGCCCTGCGCCATCCCCCTTTTAAGCCTGTTGGATTGAAGAGCTCCATGCCAGAATTTCTGGGTGGAATCAGTTGGATAATCTGCCCGGATCTGAACCGGATCTGACAAACCGGGTGAACTCAGATGACCCTCTCGTCTCGCTTTGAAGCTCTAACCGCTCTAACCGGCCAACAACGCCGTGGGCAACACGACCAGAAACGACCGTGGAAAAACGGAGAAAGCGCCGTCTTCGCAAAGCAAGTGGGCATCTCTCAAACTACGGAGAAGAGGGCCCCCCACCAAACCGGGGAGAAATGTGTTATGTGCATAGCAACATGTGACTCTTAATAAAGAGATAGAAAGAAAGATCCCTAATAATTTTGACATATACATATATATATATATTGCCATATATGTAAAGTGTGTGTGAATGTCTTGCCGTAAGCCTTAAGAACCCTTGGACCCTCCAGTTCGCCGAACTCTTTTCCCCTCACCCCCCAGACCCTCCTTCCACCCCGCACACCGGGCGCCCCGGACGCTCTTCTCGGACTCCCCGGCCGGCCTGGCGCCCGCGGATCGAGCCGGGTGAGTTGTTGGGGGTGACTTTGGGTCAAACCTTAAGGCACCCTTAGTCAAACGGTTCAGGCCCTCAGGCATCAGACTAGCATCATCATGCATCACCAAGCGCTGCCGCTCGGTGACTCGGTGTCCAGCCAGCAACCGAAAACGCCCCAAAAAACGGTGGTCCGAGGCCTTCGAGGAACCCCCAACGAATGCGTCCAGAACATCCCCAGGTTGGCCGCCTGGGTTCGATGTGCATGTCTCCCAAGTCCGTGCTGCTCACCTGGGTTTGGCGCCAGGGTCATATACGGCGTGGGCATCAAAAAACGGATGATTTTTCAAAACACATCACGGTGTTTCCAAAAAACAGAGCTCTCGTGAATGGTGCTTCCAAACAACGGAGGTCCTGAGCTGTATGTTATTGCTTAGAATCCTTGAAGCAGTGCCATGTAGAAGCTGGTCCGTTCCTTCAAAATTCTGAGCCACCGTTTTCAGAGACATCCCATCCAGCAACAGTGCCGAAGCCCGTCCATTCACCCGCCAGAGGAAGCCCGCGCCTGCGATCTGGAGCGGCCAATGGCCTCAGGTAGGACGACCCCTGACACGCATGTATTCACACACCTGGACCCATCCAATAGGTGTGTCCTGATGACCAAGTGGCCAAAACCAACCTGTGAGGACTCCAGCGAATCAGCCTAGCCAGGAGCGTCCTGATGAATCTACTTATGGTCCACCCACTTCATCCACTATTATCCAACCCCACATCTTTCCCAAGTTGGGCTGGTGTCCCATGTTGCCCCACTCCTTTCCCACTACATACGAACGGCTCGCGCCATGCCCTCCAACCGCGTTGCCTCCAAGCGAAACCAACATGACGCCATCAGGACCCGAAGGCCCCCCGAGCCACCCAAGTCGTGACTGGGCCGGCTTTCCCACGTGAGGTTTTTCAGCGGTCAAACACGCCGTAGCTGTCGCAGGCGTGGAGGGCAAGCGCACGGTCTACGTGCCATGCGCACCAGTGTACTACATAACGACTCTCCAATTGAGGGAACCATGCCAATGTTGTGCCGCCAAAAGGAGCCACAGTCAATGTACATAAGTTTTGCATAAACTCAGACTGAACCATGTCCGCCCGCAAAAGGACTGGAGCGTGACTCCGTCAACAATCATCTTGGATAGCTGTATTATATGACGCATTGCCCAAATCTGACAAAAACCGAAACGGCAAATCATCGAACGCCTGCCGCGCACGACGCATGCTGCAGGGTCCCACCACAAATGCCTCCTTGCAACCACGACGTGTGAGCTGTGGATGGTGTGTTGCTGTACCTTTGATTTTAGACTGCAGACAGGCCCGCAAAAGTTTACGCATCACCGCTCGATGGAACCTTCCCTCGACTCCGGTACATCATTGAGATTGTACAAAGGGGTGGACTCCACGTCGACTCATCACTGGACACACGGAGTCGTTCGTTCGCCCGTGGTGCACCATCCTCTTCTCCATGGCAGGTGGTTCCCTCAATGTGGGCGCCCCACCATCCCGCGGGACGGCCGGGCTTCGAGCGCCCCACGATGGTGAGAACATGCCCAGGGTTCGCGGGGGACATCTAGGGGGGGGTCAAGGGAATGGTGGTGCATTGACCTTGGCACTTTCGGTGTTGGGCGTCTCAAATGAGGAGTGACCTCAATGAGGACATTTATAAAATCAAGGGGGATCGCCTCAAAAAACAAGGCCGTTTCGAAAAACGGGGCCCCTCGAGTTCGACACGGGTCCAAAACAGCCCAAGATGAGAACTCACTTGTTAAGCTCCAAGCTCCAAGTATGACGCCTGTCACCTGAGCTAAAACCTCTGTGCTCAGGGGTCCAGGCTGTTCAAAGTCAGGTGTCCCAGTCCAAAGCAGACGACAGTCAAGGACACTCTTCACCTGGCACCCTGATCTTCTCAGCCGGGGTGTCTCAAGACCTGGAATATCGAGGGTGAAGCTTGTGAAGGAGGGCTAGCTCTATCAGTTCTATCCCAACCGGTGTCAGGCTCACATAGGAGGCTCACATTAGGCTCACTGGAGTTGGGTGCTGTTGGGTGCTGTACTTCATGAAGGATCCCTTCAAGACTTCACACATCAAGTGGAAACACTCCAGCAGCACCCTACTATAGCCTGAGGTTCCCACATAGCTTGACCTGCGGCTCCTGGGACCGTGGGATGCTCCAGGCTAGAATGATTGGAATCGAGACCGCCAAAAGCGGGAGGACCTTCGGGCACCTGCAATGGTACCGTACCAGGACTGCAAGCTGAAAGACCAAAGAAATCTGCGCGTTTTTCACTGCGCGGTGCTCTTACACCTGGTTATCATGAAACTCCTTGGATTCCGTTATGCTCATGATGTACGAATGAGGGAGGGCTGTCTCGCGCACAAATTGACTCGCTGTGTCGCCCTCAAAAGCATCTTTGCCACTGACCAACTTCGACTCCCTGTTACTTCGAGCTCGGGTTGTCCCGAGCTTAAGTTGAAGGAAGAACCCCCCCGAAAAGGATGCCTTTTTCTTTCTCGTGCCAGAGGTGTGCTCAATAACCGACACTAACTCAAAGTTCTAAGAAAGAATCTGTCACACCCGTAGGCACCCCCTAAAGGCCAGCATGCCTTGACTGGGCATTCAGGACCAGAGCCACCCCTTGAGGAATGTGAGCTTTCGGCCCAGTCCTTCGGCCATTCCTTTTGAAGTCATGTGAGTTTTCGTGTGGGTAGGCCCAGAACCAAGTGGCTTGACTCTTCGCTCAACTTTGTTTGGGATTTTCTATGCCCAGATATTGAATTGTCCACATCCAACGAACAGCTGACTTATATCCTCAATGCGGCTAGAAACTCTGAATTATGATGGTTTTGTATTGAAAGGCAAGCTTTCAGCAGGCTTGACCTGGACTTCGCTACTACTTAGATACTAATTTAAAATGGCTTTGTGTGGCTCTTATTGTCTACTTGCTGCGCAATGTTCTGCTTTTTGAGGGTATCGCTTATTCTGCACACAGCACTATTTGGGTCATTTCGTGCTCTAATGGTCAAATTTGCTCTTAGCACTTCATGATTGGTGCTCGCTCTGTTCACAAAGATGGGCTCCATGCGAAGAATCTGACATAAACCTTTGGGGACAACCTCGGTCTGCGGTCTTGGTGTCTTGGGGTGAACGATGCCCAAACCAATTGGAACATGGTCAGAAGCTCGGGTTTGTTGCTGATGGGTCATGCAAAGGCGCCACACCTGGGGGTCCACACCTGTGACCCCTCGTGGAACCTATGATGTCCTTCGGGGAATCATCCAAAGGTGAGTTTGGTACCAGTGTTTCTCCCCGTTGGTGGGGCATCTACCCATCTCCCCTTCTCATCCATCAACCAACCAGTCTCCAAAGCCATTCTCTATCGCCCACCGATGGGACTCCCATCAGCCTTCCCCACGAGACGTCCAAAATCCTCGGTGCCCCGGGCATCATGCTGAGATCGGAGCTGGTGCGCCGATGGCTTCCTGGCGATCGGTAAGCCCCGTCATAAGCCCAGCTGCTTGAGTTCATAAGCCCATGAACCAACAAAGGTTGAGGAACTCTAAATATAGTCAAAAGACTACCCATGCTATCCCATAGGTACCCCAGTAGGGGGTCCTAGTTCAGGTCGCTTCGCCTCTCTTGGAAGGGTCCTCCCAAACCCTTGCACCCTTCATGGGCCCGGGCCCGCCATGGTGCAACATGTGGGTCTCAGCGAATGGGATGGATCCAAGGCGAGGAACGGACCGGGTGGACGAAGCAGAGTCTCCGGTCCCGGGCCGGTGGACGACCCAGGACCCGAGACCCAACCTGCGGGTCCTGGGAAATGCAGACTCGTTGGTAGGTGGTAGGTAGTGACCTGTTGGAAGGTGCTGGTATATACCCCTAGACCTCTGGGAGGGACCGCCTCTTCAGGGAGAAGAGTTGTGTCACAGGAGCCCTGGCCTCTCAGGTCTCGCCGGTCAGGTTGCAGATCGCATACGCCCACACCGGTGTCACACGGTTGCACGGCCAAGTGGCGCCACTTGACGAGCACTCAAGTACCAGGACCTTCCAACAGGTCACCACCTGCGACTTGACTAAGTCTACAAAAGCCTCCATTTCGGAGACCTGTTGGAAGGTGCTGGTATCTGAATGAAAAACCATGGATATCACCAGCACCAGAAACGTCCACAGGTCACCAGCACCCGAGAACTCACAGGTCACCACCTGCCACCTGCCACTCAAGTCTCCGAGACTGTTTATATACGCCCCCCATCCACCAGGTTTCCCAGTGCAGGACCTTCGGGGGGGGGGTGCTGGAGGAGACTGCCGCTTGGCACTCCTTGTTTGTCACGTGGGGGAAAAGAAAGATTGAGATGAGAAACATGTCAACCTGCGAAGGGGAACTTCTCGGTGTTCTCTTTGGTTGGTTGGTCGTGGTGATTCACCCGTGGCATGGGGCATGCGAAGAAGGCAAAACGGACATGCGAAAATGGCATGCTTGGCTACGGGGCTTCTGATAGTTTGCTCCAAGAACCCTCTCAACTGGTGCTGCTCGGCAGCAGTGACATTGACCAATGCCAAAACAAAGGTGCCCCGCGTAGAAGCTACTTCTTCTTCTGCCAACCACAATGGAAAGAAAGAGAACTGTCACCCTAAACATCTTTGTGAGGCAAACATCTTCGGACTCGCATGACTCCTGCTCACTTCATCGGACTCCTCTTGGACCAGCCCAGAGCTGGTCCATCCTGCTACGCCAGTCCAATGCCCACGCGCGCGGTTTTTCGCGCGCCTCGCCGGTTCACTGAGCGGTTGATCTTGACGCCCTGCGGCTGCACCTCGAGGAAGACCTCCAAGATGCCCTGGCGTTCGGAAGAGGACTGCCTGGGTGTTGGGAAGGCCCCTTGTGGAATGCCGCCATTTTGCTCACGGAACATCTGGACTGCCTGGGTGGGCTTGCTGTTCAGGAAGAGTGGCAGCTGGCCTTCAAAGCCATGCCTTGGCAAGTGCGGCCCTTTCGGCATTCACAAAGATCGCCAAGTGGGAGAGCGTCGTTGACTCGATCTCGTCCAGTGCCAGGGTCTGTTTGCTTTGTTTCTTCCTGGCCATAGGGTTTTCACGGGTAGATGGCACAACTTGCACACAGTAGTGATGGATATTCGATGGGAACCAGAGGGCAAACACGAGAACCCCCTGTCAGGGAATCTGGGATGATATTGTCCTTTGGGAAAGGTGTGGGGTCCTTTGGACTTCTTAGGCCGCCTTGAATTCTCTCTCATCTCATGTTGCGAAATCAATTGGAATCGACTTCTGAAGCTGCTGTACCTGTACCCATCCTGTGCCTTGCTTGTCAGCCCAAGGAGTCGACACTTCCAACGCTTCCAACCAGCGGTCGGACTAAACCGACCGGCAAGCACTCGTGTTGTGCAGCGCCCGACCGGCAAGCACTCGTGCGTCGGTTCCGGCCCGTGCGAGCTCGCCCCGACCGGAACGGCCGGAGGTGCCCAGGGACGGATAGAACTGGGACATGCCAACCTCGGCTTGACCTCAGCAGCGGTCGGTCAAGCTGCTGACTTACGAACCGATCCGATGCAGAACCCAGCGGTCCGATGCGGTCGGCTCGCTCTTTTAGGATGAATTTCCCAGATTGAAACAGATTGAAACCATGGATTAAACGAAACCTCTTCAGGCACTAGTAGCCTCTTGTTACTAGTAGTCCTTGTTACTGGCAGCGAAGGCTTGGGGGAGGTGACATCAAATCAAAAGAGTTTCAGATGAAACACCATGCAAAACGTCGCCTCCGATGGTCGCGACGAAGAACGTCGCCCCGGGTTGGTCGAACGGTGCCGAAAAGGTGCCTTGGTGGGGTGCAGAAACCTTAAAATGAATCAAACCACCCCATAAAGGCACCCGGCCCCCTCCCTCATCCCAAAAAGTCGTCCCATCCAGGCGTTCGACGCGCATAGGTGATGCGAAATCTTTTTCTCTCACCTGAGACATGATGGTATATACATGTAAAACATGTACAGTACAGTACTCCAATAAAGACTCAACCAGGATCCAATTTTTTTAGTGCGGTGCCAAAGGGTCATCCAAAGAAGCAGGTGGTCATGGAGTCCAATGCAGGGCTGTGTTCATGAGGCCGGCCCCACCATCAGACACGCGCACGGCAGAGCGATGCTCTCCCACGCAGCAAGGGCAAAACCCTCGGCGGAAGCTTCCACCAAGCTTCCTGTCCAGAAATTGCACTTCCCCAGCTTCGTTTCCCCCCCCGTTTCCCCCTCTGGGAAGGGCATGAACACCTCACAATTCCACGGTCACCAAGGGACAAAGGTGCGGAAGCTCGGCCCCCGGCGCAGTCCCATGCAGTCCGGTCGGCCAGTTCGGCCCTTTTTGGCTCCAACAAAGGGCATTGCTTTCCAACAGCCCAGTGCAGTGCTCTCAAGCAACGATCTGGCACCGGCCAATCCTTCAATGAGCCTTCGAAGAGCATCAAGTTGGGCTCTAGATCTGCCATTCCAAAAAGCACGGTCATTACTCAGTGCTGAGTCCGGAATGGCCCAATTCCATGCTCAAAGGCAGACTTCGGCTCTCCATGGATCAGTGAGTTCGCAAAGGTCAAGCAACCTTCAAAGTCTTGCAACCAGCAGAGGTGGGTCAGAACCCGAACGTTCGACTATCCTAGTTCGGTACCCCTGGTTTTCCGGGTCCAGGTAACTGAACCTCTCTTGCAACCTTCAAATGGTAGAACTCCCCGTCACTCGTCAGTGTCTCACAGAAATGGTTTCCCCCAGAATGGCGGAATCGGGTGTTCCCACCAAGGACGTTTCGGGTGTTCCCCAGCCCGCCGCGTTCGCGAGACACTTCAGGAAGGCAGTCTTATTATGTCGCGGAGGGTGGGAAATCCAGAGAGCTGCAACCTTGAAAGGCATTGTCCCCAATGTAGGTCACATCGTGCGGGAGGGTCAAGTTCACCAAGGAACTGCAATTCTGAAAAGCTAAAGGCCCAATGTGGGTCACCGACTCTGGGATGGTCAAGGTGACCAAAGAGCTACAATTTTCAAAGGCACCAACCCCAATGTGAGTCACTGAGCTTGGGATGGCCAAGTTGAGCAGAGATCTGCAACACTCAAAGGCGTAATTCCCAATGTGGGTCACTGAGTCTGGGATGGTCAAGTTCACCAGAGAGCTGCAGCCCTCAAAGGCACCATCCCTAATGTGTGTCACTGAGTTTGGAATGATCACCTTTGCCAGTTTCTCGCAACCTATGAATGCCTCTTCGGGAATCTGAGTTTCATCACTTGGGATTTCGACCACAAGCAACAAATCCCAATCAATGGCACGGCGAAGGCCAGCAAATACATCTTGGTTGGCGCATGTCACCACATTTGGTTTGAAGACTACACTCACAACAGGATCTGCAGCGATTCCTGTGTCCAGTAACTTGGCATCGTTCGCCAGCAGCTTGGTGCCTTCGAAGATTATCTCCACACCTGTCGTCCTGCGAGTTAGCTCGTCCCAGCTCGGCTGTCCCTCTTTGATCCGCTGCTTCAGCTCTCGGCCCGTCATCTCTGGCGTGACTTCAACAACCATGATTTCACCACTTGGCTGGAGCACTGAAATCTTCATCGCCATGGTCACGGTACATGGATGGACTTTGGCTGCGATCGTTTACATGCCTTGATTGAATACATGTGCCACGTGCGACTCTGTGCTTGCCTCTGGCGAAGCTCCAACCAAACTCTGGCGAAGCTCCAACCAAACAAAAACGTGTGGACTAACGCATTCGCTTGAGGCACCTCGGCACGGAAGGGCGGGCGGCCGGCGGCGGCTCGGCGTGGCTTCGGTGGCCGTGGGTCGACCCCGCATACAGTAACCGCTTCGCCACTGCTGGTTGGTGGTTTCAACTCCTTTGACAAATGTTAGTCAGTGGGTGCAATCATCCCAAGTAATGGTTGAACATATGAAAAAAAGCACCACCCAGACTGAAAAAGGTGCGCCAAGGGGGCCGATGAGCTCATCTTGGGCAGCGTGAGGCTTGCAGGGCCTGGGGGCAGCAGGGGCCGGGACGACCAACGGCGCGACGACAGCGCTGATGGGAACGATGGGTGTGGTGGAATGAAACACCTGAAGGTGGGTCAATTGGCAGTGCAGCGGTGAGGGGGATGGAGAAAAACCTACGCACTGACACAGTCCGGGTGTCCTGGAGTAGGAGAACTGTTTACGTAGGGTGGGGTAGTCCAGCCAGGACACCCAGACCCAGACAGGATGATCCTGGTAGATGAATAGAATTAGACCACCCGGCTGTATACAGCTCAGGTCTGTGGTGAGCTGCTGGATGAAGACTTCCAAGTGGTGGTTCGTGTGGGTGTTCTATGAAGTTGGGTGCTGCTAACTGTCTATATATATATGTGTGTATATATATATATATGTAATTATATGTATATATATATACCAGAACCCTCCAACAGGTGGTTTTTGCATCTAGACATCTCTGATATTTTTTTCCGACCCTTCGCGCCCGGCGCCCGGCGCCCGGTGTTTGCAGCGCCCGGGCTGGGCTCGGTGGGTCCGCTCCAGTTCCACCGACCCGGTTCGAAGGCCTTCCGACCCGGTCCGCCCAGGGGATTGGAACATCAACCCGTTGACCCAGCCGGGGGCCGAGTTCACGATGTTCACGTCTCATGGATCGCGCGGTCACCGATTCAGAAATTGGACCACTGGGTGGTGGCGGTTTGAAGACGATGTTCCGAAGAGCAAGCGACTGGGTCGGTTTTGGAGGGTTCCATGTGCATTCCTGCCGGGGATGTGCCCCCATCTGCAGTTCGTCTTCCGTTCCTTCTTTCAGCACCACCACTGGTGGTGCCGCCAGGAGCCACGCAGGCGAGGAGTCCTTTCTCTAGTCGTCCTAGTCTTATGGGGTCGAGATGGTCCTCAGGGGGTCGAGCTTCGGAGGGGCGGCTTGGCCAGGATGGAGTGGGGTTTTCGAGTGACGGTGAGGAAGGTGGCCAGGCTTGGCTCTGACATACCAAGAAAGGTTGAACAGCCTTACTTATTGCCCATCCCATATGTACCACTACAGGGTCTTATAAGGTCTCTCAACCTCTCTTGGTATTTGTGCGACTGTGATTGGACCTGTGACCTTGCGACTCAGCCAAAGACTGATGATTCTTGGAGTCCTTCATCCGAGAAAAAGAGAAAGACACTCTTGCGATTCGACTGTCACATGTGCGTCACTGCCGGTTAGGAGGAGCGAGACCAAAACCAAGATGGGCACCCTCCCTCATCCCTCCAACAAAACATGGAAGTGGAGGATGCCCCCCTGTTTGGTCTTCGGATGTCATGGCCTTTCCGGAAGAAAAACGCCCTCCACTCGCTCCACTTCCAGGAGGGCCACCATGGGTTGCCCCCCATCTACCTGGTTGCCTGGGTGGTGCCAAGAGGGCTCTTGGGCCTCCACATCACTCGCACAACCACCCCCCCCCGAGACCCCGAGAGTTCCAAAAAGAACGGCCCCGAAGTCTGCAGTGTCAGTCACTCAGCAGGCTTCAGGTAGACGTCGAACTCCAACCTAGGGGATCGATTCAAAGCTACCAAACGATCTGAGGATCCCTGGACAGCTCCTCGAAACACCTTCCAGCCCTCGGGCCGACTCGGGCCGACTCGGTTTTTGCATTGGGATTCTCAAGTCGTGGATGAGGGACACCTGCTGATCTACCTGATCTACCTCCTTTCAAACAGAGGCATCCTCAGTATCAAGTCGACTCTTCATCTCATCACGCGGCCACGAGCTCAGCTCCAAGTGGAGCCGAGCTCGCGTGCTGCTAGTGCTTGGCAGAGTTTGGTAGGTCGGTCCAACAGTGATATAGGTGTCGGCTTCAAGTGGTGTTACACCTACAAGGTGCGACGACGCCCGAAGCACTTCTAGCACAGTGCAACGGTGAGACCTCACATCTGAGCTCCGATTCACTTGGCTGATGCTTCCATCACCTGAGTGCCTGGCTCTCCTCCCTGTCCCTCCTCCAGCTTCAGCCGGTAGTGGTGCCTGAACACGAAACCCCAAAACGCGCTCCGCGTTACCGCGTTACCGCGTTGGTCCACCGCGGCCAACGCCGCGGACCGGACCGTCTCAGTGGAGAGCGCCCTTTCAGGGCTCCGGGCCAACGTCCAGGGTCGATGGACCGAGTGTCCAGCCTCACACGGCCCAAGCCATCCTCAGGCCGCGCAGAGCGCCGGTCTGCGGGTCCGGTCCAAAAAACCGGGGGCGGCGGTGAGGAAGCGCCGTCTTCCCAAAAGCTCTCGGGAGGGAGGGAGTGCCATGCCTCCAGAAATGGGGAAGGCTTTGGGAACGGAAGAGAGAAGGGACAAGGAGGATGGTGGAAGCACCCACAAAGGACCACACGCAGGACCACACGAAGACTAAGACTTCCTAGGAACGTGCTAAACCTGTTTTTTTTAGAAGTCGAGTTCGACGATGTTCGGCACCACCCAAGTAAATGGAAGTTCCTTTTCGGATCACCTAGGACCGGACCGTTTTTTGGTCGACTGGACTCCCGGGCTTTCAGGTGATACAGCCCCAACTGTGACTCTTCCGCCCAAACGCTGGCTGGAAAGCGACCCAACTGTGGGTCATCATCTTATACCGACCCGACGTACACCACGTACACCACGTCGTGGTCTGTCCAACGGCGTGGAGGAGTCGCGGTCTGTTCGTTTCGTCTCGAACCGAACAGAAGAACCGGTCCGAAAAGGAGGCGAGCAAGGCCCAGGTTCCGTGGCCTTTTTGGGGGGTTGGATGAGCAGCTGCAGTTCGTTCAACGCATCAATCCAAGCCTCCTACGGAAGGAAGCTTAACTGCTAGTTCCTGAAACAAACACGGGCGATGTGCAAAGACTACATTCAAGGGCTCATGGTTCGGGTGTTCTTTTCAATCGTTTTGTCCCATGTCCCAATCACACTCCACCGTCTGACCAATCAAAGACCACACCCTAAATTGTTTTTCTACCCAGCGTCATCTTTCGTCACGTTGCTGTTCATCACCTGGGGCGTGGCCCGGGCTCCCACCGCGCGCGGAGCCCGGGGATTTCGCGCGGAGCTCCCAGCGGAGTTGGGTGGACTTCGGTGGGCCAGGAGCAAACCTGGGAAAACCAGGACCGGGTGAGAGATGGAGAGGAAATGATGCCCAAACATATGGTCAAGTAGACGACCTGATTCAGCAAGGTGATCGCTGAGCTAAGGGGGCATGCCCTGCTTTTCTAGGTTTTAGCCTAAATTCCGGGAAAGAAAAGCAACCGCTCTTTGCTAAACGTTTTGGCGGTTGCTCATTGCTCATGGAGAGCGGTCGGTTATATATTAAACGCCGGCCCGCTTCCAATTAAATCTACACCTCAATTACCTGTTGAGGCCGTTCAACTGGAAGCGTGGGGCGAGAGTATCCCACCAGGCTCGCTCTAGCTGCTAGCTGCTAGCTCAAAGACCTACAAAAAGGTTGTTGCCAAGTTTTACCTGCAAGACCGACGCATCTCCTTCCCAATTCTTTACATGTAGTTTCTTGTGACTAGTAGTAATGCCAGGAACTCCTAGCAGCTTCTTGCTCCGATGGCCTCCAACGCTCCGCGCCTGCAGCAGCAGGTATCGGTCCAGTTCGTGATCCACCACGTTGAAGGCGAACTGGTTGCGCTCCTCCCAGACGTGGGCCACGGGCCAAACAGGCTGAACGAGGTCCGGGGTGACTGCGCGAGCTAGCTGGTGGTGTTCAGATTAGATTTTGATGGGGGTTAGCTACCAGGGGAGCAACTGAAAGGGTAGAGTTTCATGGCAATGCTTACCCAGATTCTGAAGACAATGGCTAGAAGGTTGGAGGAGGCCATCGCTAGCCGCTAGAAAAAACGACGTTTGGGTTGCAACAATTTTGATGTGAAAAAAAATATGAAAAGTGAAGATCACTGATCTTGCGATCGCAAAAGCACACGGCACGGCGGCGGCACGGAACGAAACCACGGTCCGACGGTCTCGCTCATGAAAATGCACGACCTCGGCCACCGGAGCACGACCAGCAACTCCAAACTCCCGGCACAATGGTGTATGAAAATGCCTGGATCTCACCGTCTCAGCCGTTTCACCCATACTGCTCTTTGAAAGGAAGAACACCTCTGAACCACAATTCCATGGAGTATGCCCTTGACCAGAAAGTAGCAACGCTCCTCTTTACTTGAGCCAAAACGGTCAGGGTACCACTCATGTTTATGAAGGTCCATGTCCCAAATCACCCCACCTGGACACGAGGTGATTCAAGCTTGTGTCCATTTTGGGACCACTTTTGCTCACTGTACAGACAATCACGTGACAGCTTTCGCTATCGAAGATCGTCCTGAAAGTGCCTCAAAACCCATCGCCTTTAAATGGCGTTCTACTGCCTCACTAGCTAGTGCTTTTGTACAAATGTCAGCTGTGTTCAGCTTCGTGTCGGTCTTGAACAGTTCGAATACCTTTTCTGTCAACTTCTTTTGAATCCAGAGAAATCGAGGCTGGACGTGTCTCGACTTTCCGAGTCCAAGGCGGTTGCATGTTCCAAGTGCTGCTGACGAGTCGGTGTAGCTTTGCGTTGATGCCCCAACTCCTAAACAACTCCCGGGTTGCCATTCCAGAAGCTACAGCTTTCACCAACGCGTAAAACTCGCTCTCACCTGAAGACAAGCTAACCGTGGACTGGAGGTTGCTCGAGTGGTAGCATGCCAGGCCCGTTGTACTCTTGCGAGTCAAGAGACATCCGGCAAAATCAGAATCTGCGTGAACTGAAACGACATCGCTGAACTTTTGCGGACTGAACTTTTGTACCATGCGCATTGTTCCTTTCAAATATCTAGCAAGACGTACGAGGTCTCCGAAATCAGCTTCGGTTGGACCTTCCATTTTCCTTGCCAAACACTTGACCGTCTCTGACAAATCTTGAGCTAGGAACGCTGCACGCATTGTGAGAGAACGGTATTGGTTGATCCGATGAGGATCAACAACATCAAGTTCCATCCTCTTTGCCAATGCTTCTGCTGTCAACTTTTCGTTTGGGCTCTTCACTGTTTTGCAAGTCTCCATGTTGAGGTCCTTCAGCAAGATCTCTGCATGGCGTGGATCTGGCTCGTAGAAGATGGTTCCTGACCTCTCGTCGAAGCGCACGAGACGGTTCGGGGTGCAAAACTCCTGCTTAGCTTCTCCAACACCTATACTTCCGTCAACGCGGGGATCATATGCTTCTCTTAATGCCTTTCCGACATGCTGCTGCACTGCGTCGTTGCCCAAGATGACAAAGTCGTCACCCTGGACTAACAGCCTTGCCTCCAGCTTCTCGTTGAAGAAGATGGCTGGCCAAGCAGCGGATCTTTTGAATCCGGCTCGCTTCAAGACGTCTGTGTAGGATTGCTGCCAAATGTTGGCTGCATCGCAAGTGCCATACATGCTCTTCAACAACAGTCCTACCTTGCCTTTTTCTTGATCACCTTCGGGGAGGGTGACAAAAACTTCACGCTGTGCTTGACCGTAAAAATGGGCTCTGCTGATGTCAATCAGCCGAACCTTCAACCGCTTGCGGTTACGCTTGGAAACCTTCAGCGTGACCATCAAGAAAGCCAAAAATCTTCAAAGCTTCCAGAGGTGGCATTGCACTAAAGCTTGCGTACTCTGGAATATATTCTGCATTGTGGGCTCTCTTGATCTCACGACAAACAAGGCGAGATCTGTAGTTCGGTCTTTCGTTGTCGCCCTTGTTGCGGTCAACCCACTTCATTGCAATTGGAACTTTTCCCGCCTTTCGAGCATCTTCTGCATCCCCCTTTTTGTAGATGCACTGGCGTTGAACCCAATCCAACTCCTCCTTCCTAGCGGCGGCCACTTTCTCCAAGTCCAACTCTGCACCAGTATTGGCGTCGTAGACTGGTCTGGTGACTGTCACGTCAGCGGAAGGAAGATGGTCAAAGACCTCTTCCTCTTCTTCTATGACTGGAGCGGCATCTGGTACCGATCCAGCGCCTAGCGAGTTCAAAGCTTATCTGAACTCGCCATCTTCAGCAAGTTGGTCTCTCAACGCTTCAAGAATCCCTCGAACCAACAGTGGCGGGTTGGCCTGTGCCGACCTTCTCGTCTCGAGGCTCGTGGATCGATGGCTCGTGGATCGTCTCGAAGTTCTTTGAGGCTGGTTCTTCCCAGCTGCGTGCTCCTTTCGGATGCTCGTGCAAAAAGTAGCGGCCTCCATCTGTGCACGATAGGCACGCACTGAAGTTCGCAGATGCTTCTTGCCTTCTTGCAACCTTTGTGACCTGACCGACTGAGGAACATGATTCCGAATGTCGACCAAGTTCTGGAGCTGTGAGAATGGTCCACAAGGGGTGAACCACCTAAAGATTGGGTTGCTCCTTTTCAAGCAGTGAAAACAAATCCTCAATGTGTGAATCTTTGCTCATGTCCCAATGACTTCCGTCTTCTCGCTTGGTCTCAAGGTCGATGGCGAATCCAGGACGCAATCCGACCAATTGGGCTTGCGCTGAAACTATTGGCGGTGAAAAGACCTCTGAAACAGTCTTCTGTACGTTGCCCTTCTTGCGGGCACCCCTCAAAACAGAACAAAGTCGCTGCCTCCAGATGAAGCGTCTCGAGCTGCGACTGGAACTCTTGGTGGCTGGGGATCTGTGCTCCCAGCCGATGGGAGTGGTCCCATCACCACTGCCCCATCATCATCTACAACTGCGCCTGCAGTTGCTTCATCCTGCATCTGATGATGCAGCTCCTCAATGTCTGCTTCTGCACTTCGCTTTGTCCGGCGGGCGTCGGACTTCTGTTTCTTCTTTGGGCTTCTGGGCTCTTCTCCTCGGTCTTCGAGCTCGCGGCGTGCAACTCGTTCAAGTGGTTCTCCAACAGCTTCTCCCGAGGCCATTTCGGCATCAGGCTCTGGAACGCCTACCACCGCGGGAACGCTGGCAGCTTCCACAACCTCTGGCTCGCCAGCCCCACCTCCAAGTCTTGGAGCCTTAGGGCGTCGCCCGGCATCAATCCGAGCTTTTGCAGCTTCAATCCTCTGCTTTCCTTCTTCGGTCTTCATGAGCTCGCTTTCAATCCTGAACCTGCACTCTGGGTTATTTGTGGGCTCTACGACCCGTTCCGATCAACTGTGCCTCAATGGACACAATGGGGTGTAACCGAACTTGTCGATGTCGCTCTTCGTCACATACAGATTCCTTGGAATCACCTCCTCAACTGGTGGCCTTGTCATCGGCCCTGCGATGATTGGCAGGTCAACTCGAACCTCGCCAGGCTCACGAGCCTGGAGTCTCCAGGGAACTCCCCGGAGTTCACTGCAGTTGTCATACTTGAACTGGTCTTCAGGAGGTCTTCGAGTGATAGTGTTGCTTTTCACTATTCCCCTCGCGGTCATGACGAAGACGTCGTTGTTGCGCAACCCTGTGCCAACATACATCCCCATGAAACTCTTGGTGCAAGATCATGTCGTCGACCATCGCGAAGTGGCCTTGGCCTGAACCAGATATGTTCGCCGAAGCTCACTAAAGGAGTCCTCCACTTCTTTCCGAAGGTTCTTTCATAGGGAGTCTTTCCATCTGGCCCAATGCGAAACCGGGTCAGAAGATATGCGGCATGCCGTGGCAGCCACACATGCATGGATGACTTGGCTCAACCTCGAACCCAAGTCGTTCCTGCAAGTCAGATAGGATGGCCCTCACCTGACGCTTGAGCTCTTGTACACCGACCTCGATGTACCCATTTGCTTGATGATCTTCCACTGGTGCTTCAACCATGTGAATCTTCAGCTTGCTTTCCTCCTTCACTTTGCCTTTCAGAGCAAGGATGGCCGGCTCGTTGCCACTCTTCAAACAAAGCTCATTGAAACCCGTCTCATTGAGGCAAGCCTTCAACCACACTACGGAAAACAAATCTGCCCCTTTCGATGGAACCACGTTCGCCCAATAACGACTCGTCTTGTGACACTTCACAATCATGCACGGCAAAATGCCGTCGCTCTCCGAGTCGCTGTTCTTTTCCTGCCCTGCGTTCATGTAGCAGTAGTCTAGTGAAACGTGCGGAATCCTACACTCTTCGTCCCGATCTGCAAGTCCACGTGGATGTCGCGGAGCCATTTGGCAGTGGATGCACCAGCTCCGATGAACAACATGCCCAGCAGCACCGTGTTCCTGAACCTCTTGAGCTGTAGGATCCGCCGGCGACCGCTTTACGATCACCTGCGCTTGCTCTTCTCCAACCTCTTCTCCCGATTCTTCATCGGGTGCCCCAGCCGACATGGCAGGAGCATCTTCCAATGGCTGGAGTTCCGGACTTACACCCGAGAGCCCTCACCTGATCCGGGCGCAATCCGAAAGTCCATGAGGTAGATCCCATTATGCATTCGCACCGGAGTCATTCCCCCATGCTTCTCGTAGAGCTTCTCCATGAAGGCTGAATACTCTTCCAGCCTGCGAGTCCTTCGGGATCAGCAATCCGCCACGGGCTCCGAGCGCAATGTGGTGGTGCTTTGCCACCTTCCGTCCCGAGGCCAGGGTGCGATGAACGCCTGTGACCCGGCCTTCCAAAATCTTCGAGCTCCCATTGGCGTCCGTCCCATGAAGGACAACTCCGCCTTCGTCTGCCAGCGACTCAGCCGACGCGGTCTTGTAGCTGATGTCCTGCGGCGGCGTCTTGGCGTGTCCCTCCAAGTTGCCTCGCGCCAGTTGTTGTACTGGTCGTCCCAGCTGCGGCGTCGCTGCCGCGTGTGCTCGGCCTCATGCTTGGCCTGACGCTTCCGCTCCTTGCGTGCCTCGCGCTTGCGCTTGTAGTAGTCCTTTCCGCAGATGCGAGGCTCTTGTGGGTCGTTGGCCGCTCAAGCACTGCCTTCTTGTCATCCGGGGCTCATGGGCGCGGCTTCATCCCGACGCTCGATCGGCTTCGACTTGTCGTTGCGATCGTCCACAATCTCGGTCTCCACATCGGTGTTGAGGCCATCGAGATCCTTGCGCTTCTTGCCAGTACCTGGTGCGCTGTGCTTGGAGTGCCACTTGTCATCAAGTTCAAGTTTCTCTGACACTCGATCGCTTCGCCGGTCCAAGACTGCCCGACGGCGGCCTTTCTCATTCTTCCAGGCGATGTGATGTGGCTTGCCAGCCGCCACATCAGCATAGTACCTGGAGTCATGGAAGGTCTGGTCGCGCATGTTCTCCTCGGTGATCTTGATCGACTGGCGAGGCGTGTCGCGCTGGAGCTCCTTCTTCTGCTTCTCCAGCTCGGCCTTCTTGTCCGGGTCCTCCTCAGTCCCGCTCTCTTGGGAGAGGAGGTTCGATGCCAGTGCACCTCGAAGCACCCCGAGCGCAACGTGGTGAATCCGGAATTTGCCGGTCTTGCATCCGACTTGGAATCCGGCCTTTGGCTTGGCCTTCACCTTCGATGGCATCGCCTTCACCTTAGGCTTCTTCTCCTTCTTCTCGGACCCATCATGCTCGCGCTTATTCGCTTCGCGCTCCTCCGCGGATTCCATCGCCTTCACCCCAGGAGGATAGGCTGGCTCACGAGGGCGGCGCTTGTCTGGCTTCTGAGGACCTCCTTCCGAAGCGGTCGGAGTCTCCTCGCTCCTCGTGGCCTTCTCTTTGAGGAAGATGCCAACGCTTCCTTTTGGCGTACGCCGTTCCGCCTTCGTGGAACGTGCTCGCCTTGGCGGTGCCGACTTGGGCTTTGTGGTCTCACCCGCAAGCTTGAGGAACTCAGTGGCGCTTCCGCTCCTCTCGCGACGTCTACTCTTGCTCCTGTCGCGGCGCTTGTTCTCGCGGATGATGCGCTCTTCTTCCTCGTCAGTGGATTCGCGCTTGACCTTCTTCTTGGGTGAACGTCCGCGTTTCGGCGATCGCGAACGCTCCTTGGGGGGATCCCGCGAATCACGACGATCACGGGGCTCCTTCTCTTCCTGGCGCCTGAGCTGATCACGCAGCTTGTAGTTCTCCTCGATCAGCCGCATCATCACGTCGACTGACCGATCTTTAGAGGATCCAGCTCCGGAGTCAGCAAGTGAGGACCTGCCTTAGCCTTCGACCGGCATGCGATTCATGTCTTCGGCTGTGAATCGCTTCATGGCAGTGAGGTCCATGTCGAGGTGAACCGTGTCGAAGGACGGCTTCTTTTGAGCCTCCTTCGAATCCGCTTTCTTTGAAGCTGGTCGCTTGCTACCCATATTGGATCGGGTGCGATGGAGTGCTCCCAACACCAACGAATTGCCTTCTGGGTTTGAGCCCGGGTCTTCGGTCCAGTCACCATACCAACCCGAGTCCCCTTCGTCCCAACCGGCGGCGTCCCACGATCCAGCCTGCTCCTCACCTTCTGGTTCCTCCTTTGCCTTTTCCTTTTCCACTTCCCCTTTCTTGCCTCCTCCTTTGCTTCCTCCTTTACCTTTCGGGGAACCTTTTGAGCCTTTTGGTCCGGAGGGCGCACTGCCCTTCGGCGCTTTGCGTTTAGGAGTCTCTTTGGAGTTCGCTTTACCTCCGCCGGGAGCCCAACACTCGGATTTGTAGTGTCCGAGCTTACCACAGTTGTGGCATGTGGCATTCTTCTTCTTGTCTCCGCCTGCAAGTGCGCCTATGTCCATGGGCTGTGGCCCATTGTAATCCGAACTGGAATAACCACCACTGGACTTGAGCTTCAGTCCAATGCGTGTCTCCAAGTATGTGGGAGTTCCTTCCAGACTTCAAGATAGTCTGCACAGCGTGCTTGGTTGAGTTGAAGATGTCGTTCAACCTCAACCGGACAAATAGACTCCAAGATGGAGATCTTAATGTCCTCATCCAAAGTTGGTCTCGAGCCATCAGCCTTTCGCCGATTCTCGTATTGTCGAACCTGGTCCTCCCAGTTCTCGACAGCTGCGCTCAACTCTTCAGCTTTGTTGCAACGGTTCGGACTCAGCACCGAACGAAGCAAAGCCCTCCGACGACCTCCAGTCGAAGGATCAAACCGCTTGCACAGTCGCCTCCAAGCTTCTAAGCCTTTACACTTGCCTGCGCTTCTTACGAGCGTGAATGCCTCCTTCTCGCAAAGGGATTGGAGAACAGCGTAAAGTTGTGCATCTTTTGATTCCAGGTCTGGTATCGTCTCCTGCTTCGGAGTAATCGCACCAAACTCGGCATTCATGGACGCGTTGCTGATTGAATCCGTTTCGTCTTCTGCCCAAGCCATCGCTTGGCCGAAGTCACCATGACATGAACGGACTCAACAAAAGCTTCCAACTGGATCTTCCATTGGAGGAAATCCGAGTTACCATCAAGTTGCTTGGCTTTGCCAAACCGCGGTTGTCCACCAGAGTCAACTTCTTATATGGCTTCTTGGACGCTTCCAGGATGGCCTTCTGCGTGTTGACCATCTCCTGCAAAGCTGCCTGCATAGCCCCTGTACTCTGAACCTATTGTTCAAGTCCTCTTCTCTCCTTCGACTCTCATTCAACTCCTGCCTCATGGATGTGATCTGGGCCGCGACCTGCTCGAGGGTGGCCATTACTGATCAGCTGCTCCCGGTCGAGTCAACCGAGAATTCAACAGCCGTTGCCTGAATGCCTGACTGGCAATCAGGTCTTGGTACCCGAAGATGCGTTGAAGCCTCCGAATCCTGAACAGCCGATTAATCAACCGGCGTCACAACCTCAGCACCCTCACAGCAGCACCATCCCTTCGCTGGCACAAACAAGTCCAAAGGGTTTCCCAAAGGGTGAACATCTGCCGGAGTCGCACCGAGCACTCCGCTACCATGAGCAGAAAGTAGCAACGCTCCCATTTACTTGAGCCAAAATGGTCAGGGTACCACTCATGTTTATGAGGGTCCATGTCCCAAATCAGCCCTCAATATCCCTCAATACCCCTCAATGCTGTAGTCTTGTGGAGGCGCCTTCTCTCCCCACAGCCCCCCCCCCAGCTCCTTCCACACGGGGTTCAACTCGTTGCTCACGCTGGGCGTCTGCTGGACCATCTCTCCCACTTGTGCTACGACATAGGGGTCGGACCTCACCGCGAAGGGGCATATATCATCAGACGAAAGGCTTTCGGGAGCGGTGGTTCCGGCTCAACAACAAGTGATGGTTTTCCTTCGGCGCATGCCAGTCTGGGCTGGCACTTGGCAACTTAGCGTTCGCAGGACGGGCTGGCACTAGTTGGTTGATAGGGTTTGGAGGATCATCTACCGGAAAGAACTGGGACAGTCGTGATTTACCTGCACGGATTCTATAAAACTAGTCACAGGGCTCATGGGAAACTATTTGTGAACAGCGATTGCTTGTTCAGGCCCGTGTTGGATTCCAAAAACGTCGTGCACTGCCACGCGGCACGTCGCCCATAATCCCCGAGTCCCGGTTGATCAAGTTGTACGCCGCGGCCACCTGCAGAAGAATGGACATGTTAATGAAATGTGGGTAGGGTTTCCGCATTTCCTCCATTGCACAGTCCCTGACACATGGGAGTGGAACATGGCCCGTTGGAGAACCATTTTCTTCCAGAAGCAGGCGGTTTTCCACTTCCACGTTAATGACTTGGAGTGTAGCCTTCCATGATTTCTAGGACGTCACTCATCATCTCCGCCGTGCGTCAGCTTGCATCTGCCTTTAAGACAAATTGTCAATGTAGCACCGCGTGCCCAACAAGAAAAAATGTCAAGTCAAGCGTAATTAGTTGAGGGCTGGCGGGCCTCAAACTGGTCCTACGCCAATTGGGCCAATATATAAGCCCAACAACTGCGCTGTAGCCAAACAAAACCTGTCATCGTTGAACCCCATGGCCCACACACTGCCATACACAACCCTTTCCACGCCGACCGGTTCCCCACCCATCTGTGCCTGGACCCACCCGAACTCATCAACAAACGGCGCCCATGGCGGCCATGAACACCCGAAGCACCACGCACCACGACAGGCTGGCAAAGTGGGCCGCTCGAGGAATCGAGGGTTCTTCACCAAGCGCTAACACTCTGCGCGTGCCACTCATGACGTGCAGGTCACACAAATCGCAAAGCTCAGCATACCTTCCTGGACCCTCAAGGAGTGTTGATTGCAGCGCTCGCGTGGCAGAAAATGCCCACTTCCACGGTTCTCATCATAAACTTGTGGCGGCGAGTCTATCTTTTCCCGGACTCCCGTGAATACCACCTTTGCCCCAAGTGAAGCCGGCTGGTTCCAGAAACCAATTAGATTTGGAAGGTCCTTTCACGGTGCATACACTCTTAGATACCCTTGGTATTTCACGTTTGGCTCGACTAAGCGCTGCACCCAACATGCTGACAAGTGACAAGTGGAACCCACACCGCACAAAATATCACAAAATATAGGTTAGAACTAAATCCGGAAGCTTAAAAGGCGACTGTCTCCTTCATGCTGGATGCCCAACCGACCAGAATCCAACTTCAGAGTCGAAGTCCGTTCATCACAGGTAACAGCACTTAGGCTCGAAGACTCCATGGGCAAAGCGTTGCCAGCACCCAAGGTTGCAAATTTCCACATTCAAAGATGAATCAAACCTCAAGTGAACCTGTCCCAGAACCTCCCTGTGCAACCTGCTCAGAACCACGAACCTGCTCCGAACTCCGGAGCTTGCTCCAGAAGTTCCTCCGGTTTCTCCAAATGATTCCAAATGTTTGGTTCAAAACCAAGGTCTTGCCAAGCCCTTCTACGACCTCTCAACACGGCAAACACCTGTCCTACATGCCTGCCCTTGTCAGTGCCACAAAGGGGCACCCAACAACAAGATTGTCAGAGCAGCTGGAGGCTGGCAAGCTGATCGTGGCCACACCTCATCTAGGTCTCTCAGTCAGACGGCTCTTGGTACACCATGTCCCGCACGCATGCTGAATAAATACACCGCCGCAGCCTGTAGCCCAAAGCCTGTGGTCGACCGGCTCTCCGGCCCCCGCCCGATCTCATCAACACATGCCACCAATTGCAGCCATGAACAACCAAAGCACCGCTCACAGTGGGCTGCTGGATTAAACCGAGGGTCTTCACAAAGCGCCTTCCGCGCACCGTGGTTCAAGCTAAACGGCGCCTACCCTTCCGCGCAACCTAGCGAGGCAGGTCGCAAAGACATGGTTTCACGTCTTGGTCACCTTTTTGGATTGCAGGAGATGCGCGATACTTCTGCCATGAGGTTGCTTGGTTGCAACTTTGCCGCCTCCTGAATCACGCTGCTGGGGACGCGTTTCAGGCGGAAAAAGCCCTGTGCTTTTGGAAGGTTTCTAGGACTGTTTGGCCCATCTGCCTGGAGATAAAGCACTGTGGTGTGTTCCACGGAGGCCGGTGCTGCGTTGTGGTCCACCTCTGCCGCTGGCTCCTGGGAATGAGGAGCTGCCGATAAAACGCTGCGAAACACCGTCTGAAGCGACGAGCGCGAAGCGAAATCCCCGGAAAGCAAGCAACTGAAGATGAGACCTGTGGTATAACTCTAATCCATCCATAGCCATCCTCAACAGATCCCCTCAGTCTTATATAATCTCAGGATGTGCTGCCTAAGCCATCCACCTGTGAAAACATCTCCGCCGTCCACCCAGCGATTCCAGGCACCCGATGGTACACAGCCAACTTCAGGACGTCGCCAAAGGCCCAGCCGGAGATGACGCCGGTGTAGTCCCACAAGGGGCTCGGCCCCTTGGGCGTATCCAGTCGATGGAACAGCGGAAAAGGCCAGTTTTTTGAGGACTGGTAAGTTGGAAGCCCCGCAAGGACGATTTACAGGCATAGCTAGGTTTGAGAATGCCACACATACCCGCAAAGCAGGATATATATACAGTATATACCCTAGAAGTCCCCCCCCCCCCAAAAAAAAAATATATATATATATATGTGTGTTTGTGTAATATAATATATATATATATATATTTTTTTTGACCGGCTGAAGTAACGGAAGTTCCCTATCAGGCCCCCTAAAGACCATTCTTTTTACAGTCTTTGATTCCCAGGCTATACAAATGGACTCAGATGGACACGTGCGGTGAGGCACCTCTGTAGCCTCAGGAAGACCAATCCCAATCAATGGCCAAGCATACCCTCTGCCCCCATGGAAATCCCAAAATTGCGCAATCAGGAGACTCCAGCATTGCTTGGAAGATCTTACGGGTCGACCTGGAACCCATCACCGCTCCCATCACCTGTTTTGCAATACACAGTATTGCCATGAGCCATCTTTTTTGGATGGTCAACCTGGTCACTCGCGCATCTCGCGTGCCGTGGGCTTCTTCCAAGGCCCACCCGATCCAACAGTCGATCCAGCAGAGTCTGGGTCTCCGATCTTGCAGCTGCGGGCTTTGCAAGCGCGTGAAGGGCTTGTTGACCACTTCAATGACACAATACCTGCGCTTTTTGGCGCACCTGGCCACTTCCTGGTCACCATCCTAAACCCCAAACCTGAGCGTCCAAAAGAGACACTCAACCGGGGGTCTCCCGGGTCTCGGGGCGGAGACCCACACCGATTTGGCTCCGCCACCGGCGCACGTGGAGATCCGGCGGCCCCGGGTCTCACTGGCCAGACCTGGAGGACAGCACCGGTGCCACCGGTGGGAGGACACGGATGGCGAACGAGCGAGCGAGCGAGCTCACACCGCAGGGCGAGCCAAGGTGGGGAGATGGGGAGATGTGTGCACGAAGGTTGGAAGGGAATGTGGAGATGTGCATCTGAATGATTCATGGTACATCATTGATCATGGATGCTCGATTTGATCAGCCGGCGGGGACGGATGGGGGCCATGGCGGGAGGCGTGAACGACGAGGGACCCTTTGCCTCAAAAGCAGCGGCCGATGGATCACTTCATGGTCTTCATGCAAGCTTGGAGAGATCCAAAGAGCGTCGGGTGAACTGACCCACAAGGCTTTTGTAGTCTCGTGGAGTCTATAACAACCCTCATCCCCTACCTACGAGTCCAGTCAGAAAAAAAGGGCGATCCTCTTCCCAAACCCCTACCACCCTCGCTGTACCAAGCATGCCCACGCCACCAACACCAGGAGCCGTTGCCTTTAACAAGCCTTTAACCCTTGCCCATTTCTGGTAGAGGATCCCCATGTTCATTAAAGGTCAAGGGAGGATGGGCTCCTGCAGCTCGTCTTGGGGATGGGCTCGGCACTCCAGCGCTCCAGACCGACCGGGCCTTGAGCTCCGTCCACCGTCACCCCGAGCACCGGAGCCACCTGGGGAGCGGGGCGCGCGGAGGTTTGGGCCCTGTGGACCTGGGACCGGGTTCGCAACCGGGGTCTATGCAGCCACCACAGGGGGTGCCGAACTTGGAAGATCGTTGCCCATTCTCACATCCACGGCTTTTCTGGATGGGGACGGAAAAAACACACCACCCCAACTCCATGTGAAACTCCTGGTGCTATGTGATCTCTTTTCTTGTGCCCCTGAAACTCTAAAGTCGTCCGTTGTGCTTGGCGTCGTTCTGCCACCGAGACGCAGAACGAGCGGCACAGCGGAACGACGGTCATGGACGTCGTCTAGACTTCTAGACTATATAGTCAATATGTGGCCAATACCTGATGATCCAGATGACCAAATGAACCGATCTTGGTGCAATCTTGCGAGATTGGGAGATGGAGATGGCAGCTCGAACCGCCCAAGCCCGGCAAAGGATGAGGACGAGCTCTGAAGGCGAAGGCCCCCCCCTTTCCCGGGCCCCTCACGTTCACCCAAAGGATCCCAAAAGGTTTCAATTGCTGACCTGTTGGAGGGTCTGTTCTGAAACAGGAAACAGGGGAGTGGCCGGCGCGCTTCTGCATGGGAAAGAAGCAACAACACTATTTGAGCGCCAAGGCTTATATAATTGGATTGTATAACCTCGCCAAATGGGGAGGGTTGTGAATCAACAAGTCTACATTAAAGTAAAACATGCATCGCTCATCATCGCTTCTTGCAGTGCCAAAACCATGTTGTCATCACCGCTGGGCTGGAAAGTGCTCCTCTGTTTTTTGGAGCTAAGCTCAGCACGCCGCTGTGGTACTGCTCACGCAGCTTTTCTAATCGACCTGGCTGCACATATCTTTGTTGGAGGCATTGCTTGGGCGTTGCGCTGGCCAGCATCAGGGCAAGAGGCACCGGAAGTAGAGGCATATCTCACACGTCGAAGTTGATCTCACCGGTCAAACCCCCAAAAAATAAACGATGCATGGTCATTGTGGGAAACTTTCTAAACTGACAGGCTATCTTTATAAGTGTCGAGTGACAACCCTCGCAGAGGCCAAGAGGATTCCGTTCACATCTCAAAAAATGTGGGTAGCTTGACTCCTCACCCGTCAATCTTAAGGCGGGTTCTTTAGGATTTCCTTCCGTCCAGTGGATCCTGCTTTTTGGTCTGGCCAGTCTACCTCCTGAAAGCACAGTCCAAGTCCCAAAAACAAATGCATGGTTCCCCAAATCCCAACCCAAAACCGTGAAGATATGCCAAGGATCTGTCTTGCCATCTCCCAGAGGCTCCATGTATGCCATATATGCCTACATTGACCCTCCAAACCACCCCAACTGATCGGCAGCATACATGGAGTGTCTTGCCATATTAGAAACAAATCCCTAGACCTCCGATCGACCATTCAAAACATTGGAACGACCTGAATCTGGCTGACTTGTCGTGTCAAATCCTTCGTTGATTCGGTAAACAGCCTATTAAACGAATGGTTGGCCAGGAAGCTTAGGAAAGCCTTTCTTTCTTGCCCTCCCGCTCCCAGGCCCCGCGACGTTGCTGCTCACTCTGGTCGTGCAGCCTGGAGCGGGTGAGCGGACTCGGAGTCTGAGGGCAGAGAGGTAGAAGCAGCTCAAGAAGAGAGCCATCGACGGGTTCCTGCTGAAACTACATACTGTATATCTATATGTACGTATGTATTTATTTATTTGTATCTCTCTCTCTCTCTCCCTCTGTGTCCTATATGTTTTTAAAAAAACATATATATATATATATATACATATATCTGTGTGTGTTTTCTTGGTTAACCTCTGATGGTCAAACATCTCCATCTCTTTTTAAAGATGCGCTTCCACCTTGATTTCTTCACGCGCTTCACCACCCCTCGTGGCTCCCGCTGGAGCCGCTGTCCGCACCTGTCGAGCAGCTCCTCCTGCGCCTGCGCTTTGGACTCGCCGAAGCGCTGCCTCGCCGCTGTCCGCACCGAACGGAGTCACGGGTCGTTGGTCGATCTCGCAGGTGAAGGAAGTGGGCTTGAGGAAAAACATGGGTCATGACGCAAAGGGTCTGGCCATTGTTTTTATCTGGATCAGATTGAGGGGGTGGACGTCAGGGCAAGTGATGCTAAATGATGGTATGTACCATCCGGTAGCACCTAAGAAATCAGGCAAGAGGAGCATTGAATGGGAGTGCTCTGAGATGATGGCATTGCAATCTGGACACCAGTTCCGGCCCTTCCTGCCAAACCCGACCCGGGAAACCACGCAAAAGCCACATGCGATGGTCGGGTCAATCTCACCAACCCGTGACAACGGAAAGTCATGTAGACTCAGGACTAAGAAACCCACCCCCACCTTTGGAGTGCAAAAATAACATGAAATATATAATGGGGGATTGTTCAAGAGTCTGCATTAGGTGCTAGGCTATATTAACAGAGGACCGCTGCGAAGCACTCGAAAACGCACCACCGAAGCACTTGAAGGCGCCGACCCATGGGACTGCCATAGGACTGCCGAGAAACGGCCAGGGGTGGTGCCAAGGGGGCCCAATGGGGGCGGGATATATGGCAGTCCCATGGAGTGTATGGGTTAAGAAAAAACGCTCGGCCATCACGTTGCAGGGAAGTAGTGGATGCTTTCCGGAGATGCTTGAAACTTTCAACTCCCTCCTTCAGCGGCAAGAATGCACCCGACCGCCCCTGTGGAAGAAACTGAAGAAGCCAAGCCAAAATCAAAAGTCGAAATGCCAAGCAAAAGCTGCTTGCACCTCCACGTGGGTGAAACCCAAGTCGCTGGTTCATCATGGTTAATCCAGATATGTCTTCAAGCCTGAGATCCAACCGTTTTGCAGCCAATTATGCGACCTGATGCTTCAATGTGTCGATTGAGAAACCTGAGAACCCCCAAAAAGAGACATGTGCCATAAATCTCTGGGTAGGTCATGATCATGGAAAATCTCCCACAAGTGACATCTACCTTATATCATCTTATATCCTTATGTAATATTGCAATTCTGAACCCCCCCTCGGGGCGCCCGGCTTCAACTCGGAGGCGTGTTGCCCCTCAGAGCGAGGGAGGAAAGCAGAGGGCCCAAGAGGGTCAGGGTGGCACTCCGCATCCGGGGCCGCTTCAGAGGGCGTAATGGTGGGGGGGCTGAACCAGCCGAACTGGGCATGCGGCTCTGGGCGGATCCAAGAGAGGTTGAGAGACCTGAACTAGGAAGGACCCCATGGTAGGGGGGGAACCCTCAAAAGCTTCACTTCGCAGCACCTTCCGGAAGTCGACCTTTCAAGCGATTCAACGGGAGGTCCCGCAGAGTCACCCAGCCCGGTGGAGCCCAGGCGGCCGGTGTCTCCCAAACGATGCTTCACAAGTTCTTGAACTGATCCGAATCACAGACCAGGATCCTCCGCTGTCCTGGCGTTCGACTACCCGACCTGTACCTTACATCAACAGGTCTCCTACTCCAGGGCACCCAGACAGGAAGTGCTAGGGATGAATGTCCTTTCCTTCTTTTTGGTATGCCTCGTTTCCGGCACCAACACGGTGGGGCCGTCCAGTGGTCCTTCTCCGGCGCCGTGTGGAGAAAGACCCACCATCTCTCGGACGCGCACGCCAGATGAGGCCCAACGGAGAACCCGAAAGACCTGGTTGTGACACTCTGGACGAACAGACCCTCCCGCAAACTAACACTACAACCCCAGTGGTTCTAGGGTTCCATGTGCATCTAGAGGGGACCTGTAGAGTCGGATGCTGGTATTCAACTCTGTTCTTCGGTGGGGACCCGAGAATCTGGTGTTTTCCAGCTGCCGACTCATCCGTGGGTAAGACAAAGATCCTGAAAGCATCGGAAGTGGCTGGGACTGGGAACCACCTCCGGAAATGTTTCTGGTTGGGAACTAGCTTTTCCAGGGATGGCTCCATCAAGCGCCTCCTAAAAGACGGAGAAAAGACAAAAGAAAACACGCCACGGGCGGATCTGAAGACGTCGATGCTACATCCGACACCCCAGGCCCCCCAAAAGAAGGTGCCCATAGTGCCATGACGCGGCCATATGAACTGATGAAGTCTATAGTCCTGAGAGTCGAGTCCTTGCATGTCCTGATCTTCTTGGTGGAGCCCTCGGCTTGCTCCGCCGCACCCGGCACGTCCACGCGAAAAACGGTTCGGACGTCGCGTTGGCGCCGCCAGTGTTCGGCCAGGGGTCCATCTGCAAGGCCTTCTCCGCCGCATTCTGCTGCCTTCCACGTAGCTCCTCCAGCTGCTTCGCACGTTGCCTGGAAGCACCGGCACCACGCAGGCCGCGAGTCTGCCGGGCGTCTTGAGACTCAAGACAGGCTTCGTCGGCGGAGAGTGGAGTCGGCCCGGTGTTATCGTCCGAAATGTAGGAGGACGGCTCATCCTGTCTGTCAATGAACTGGTCAATCCTGCCTGCCCATGTTTGGTTGCCGAGAGGTACGGACCATGGCACCACTGGTCAGGCCACCCCGGCAACAACACGCGGCAGAAACCCTTCGGTGCCATCGGTGGGGCAGAAACCCTTGTTTGGGACATGGTTTTCGTCCCCACCTCAAAGATCTAAAAGGGATCGAAGGACTAGGTAGGGGACTCAACAAAATGCTTATAAACTAATTCTTTTGCCCCTCTTGTTTGAATTCATTGAGAGAAGTTGAACCCCTTTGGGGCAACTCGACGGCCCACGTGGTCAAGCGCAGTCCATCTCACATCTGAAAACGCGTTCATTTTCCTCGCGCCAGGGAAGGACTGGGCCATTGGTCTTGAGATGGCACTGCATTGATTGTAGTCTTGCAGAACTTCGAGGCTAACAAAACCTCACTCGAAAATACTGCACACGTCTGAGCAACCACGAGTAATTAAGGACTTACTTAGTTGGTGACGCTAGATGACGCTAGTGATATACTTGCTTGGTTTCGAGCGTTCTCAGTCCAAATGGCCCCAAACCCCCCTGCGGTCTAGAACTTCTGCGCCCATGAGGGGCTCAGCTTGCAGCCTCCGAAGCCTTCAGCATGTCAACCAGGACAGCCTGAAAAAGTGGGGTGGGGTAGATTGGAGTTTGGTCTTTGTTGCATGTTTCAAACCTCATCAGCCTCATCCATCCAACTGCAAAGGGGTGAACGTTTTGCTGTGTCGCTTTTGCACCCTGAAAGCGTACAACACTGCTCTTGTCCGGGACGGACCACAAGATCGATCAGTTTGGAGAAGCTCTCATCTGGCAAGCCACGGAGTCTGAAAATCACTACTTCGGATCAACGGACTCCGCCAGCTCCCACCGAACCCGAAACCCCACACCGCTGTTCAACCCCACACGCTGTTCCCCACTCGCCCACGTCTGGAGAACAAAATGCATGCTTAAAAAAAAAAAAAAAAACGACTCCTTCGCGAGAAAAAGATCGGGCGCGCCTTCCGACCAGGACGCCGCACCAGACAGCCAGGCCCCGCCCTATGAGCCCTCTCGCGCCTCCATGAGCTCGCGCTGCACAGGCAGGGGGTGATCCACACTGGCGCCCACGGAAGTGATCACCGTGCAGCGGATGGTCTTCCCCTGGTTCTTCCTCCGTCGAGCCGGGCCGGGTTCGGTGGAGGTCGGGGCGGGCATTGGGCGGGTTCGGGGGAGATGAAAGGAACTAAAAGATAAATATATACATATATATTATATACTTCCAGAAAGACTAGCATGGACCCTGAAAACCACTGGTCGGTAGAGGAAAACACTCTTCCAGCAAGGCCATTCTCGGGGTCCATGTTAGTTGGAGTGTATACTTCCAGAAAGGAGAGAAATCAATCATCAAAAAAGCCTCTTCCACTGATCCGGGCTACTTATCCACCGCCATCTTCTCCATCAACCGCTCCAACGTCAGGCCCTTGGGCGCCACCACCGGCAAGCCGTACCTCGTTCGAACGACAATGAGTTCCGCACAACGGGAACGACCGCGCGCACACAACGGTGGGCTAAGCGGCTAAGCCTTTTTGCGGGGCTTTGGTACCAAAAACAGGCCGGTTGCGCGACGTGGGAACCCTGTCGCAGACAGCTGACCTCCCTGGACCTGAAAAGGTCCGGGATGGTCAAGCTCACCAAATAGACCCAAAGAGCTGCAAGACCTAATGTGGGTTACAGAGTTCGGGATGGTCAAGCTAGCCAAAGCGCTGCAACCACCAAATGCAGGATGTCGAATGTGGATCACGGAATCCGGGATGGTCAAGCTCACCAAGGAGCTGCAATCCGCAAAGGCGGCTCGACGCGAACAAACGGATCCACCCTGCTAGGGTTTAACCCTGATCCCTTCTAAGACCATCAAAAATGGCTGGTCACGTGGCTTTGTAGTCTAAAGGCCTTAGCAGCCTTAGCACAACAAAACATGGTTCTTCGGCAGGGACCCTTAAACCAATGGCTGTGGGAATCGTGGGGATCAGCTAGTCCCAGAGTGCTTGAGATCAGCTAGTCCCCGAAAGCATCAGGCATTCATGGTGGTTCGCTGTCCAGTAGCAGGGCCCCAATGACACCCATCCAAGCGGAGCAACGTCGCAGCACAGGTGGAATCCGGCAGGCGCAAGGAAAGCGAATGAGAAATGGAGAAATTTGGAACGTGACATGGAGCTGGATGTGAATGAGTCACTTTAAAGTAGACTGTTGCTGAATAGTCCCTGAACTTGACTCAGACTCCTTGATGAGAACCTGCCCCGGTCACTGAATCTCTCAACTCGTGGGCCCAGTGGCTTTTGAAAGCAGCTCCGGATCACTGGAACCTTGGATGCCTGGCATGAACTCAGAACTGACTTGGGGCGAACTCTCAAGAAGGACCGGCTTGCCGGCATCGAAACCGGGGCCCCCCAGTGCCATTCGAAGCCCGGAACACCCAGGTACTCATGGCTACTCATGGCGTCTCGACCCCGTAAGCCTTCACTTCGCTGTGGGGGATGGAGAGCCGCGGCTCTCCAGGTTTGGAAGCCGAAAAAGATCCGTCCGTTGGATCCGTCCGATTCGTCATGTCCATGTGATTTGATCTTCTACGCCCGGCCCGGGCAGAAGCTTCTGCCACCTCTCGTGGAGAACACATCGAGGAAGAGGCGGAAGATGCTGAAAAAGATGGGCCTCCAAGAAAGCACCTCTCTGAGAAACGCTCGCCACTGTTCTGGGGGTTCGGTGGTCCATTCTTATCTTGTGACGGGGGTGGGGTAGAATCATGGTATTTGGAAAGGCGCCTTCTGCGCGCCTTTCAGACTCTCTTACACATGTGCTGATTGATTTCACACATGTGTGGGCACCCAATGTCTTAGAACCAGGACCTTTTTGCATCTTTGTCTTCCATTCGCCTCAGCGGCACCTCTTCACGCGGTTTGCCCTAGACCGTCGAGAAAACCGCGTCGACCGTGCGCGAGGATCAGGCGAGGATCACGGTGGCGGCGGCGCTTGGTGAGCTAGGGTCGGAAGCTAGTAGGATCTGGTAGCTCCATGTGGCGAGTTCTGACTTGGTGCTAAGCTGGGCCCCAACCTCCCAGACAGCCAGTATCACTACAGGGTCACGGGCGTCGCCGCACCTCAAACAGAGTCAGAGTCCGACTCTGTATCGGACTGGTAGGTCAACCGTGGTCTCCTGGTGCCCAGGACCCACTGCGACCGGTCGGACGAACGGCAGCTATCGCCCCACCCGGGTGCCTCCAGGTGTCCCATGCGCACGGCCAGCTCCGCTTCCCACACGCAGCCGATGGAGACGCACTCGCCGTGCAACATCTCGGGGGAGACCAACGCCTCAACCAACGTCGCCGCTGCGCTCCGAACCGGCACCGGCACCCTGCCGAGGTGGGCACTAGCAATCATACTTATGCTCTATATATATATATATATCGTTATTTTTTACCAGGACCTTCCTTTCGCCCAGTGGTTGTTGGGCACCCCGAATCACCGGAAGAGGCTGTTTATAGACACCTCGACTGGAAGGTCCTGGTATATATAGTTGTGGTAAGATCATGTGAAGTTGCCCACCCAAGAAACGGAGAGTGATTATTAACTGAGCCTTCCAACAAGTCGACTGGTACCACTGGGCAACTGAAATCGACCACCTGCGCAGTTCTTTGATTCTAGACCTTCAGGAGCTGACCCCTAGAACCTGAGTGACGCCCATTTGGGAGCACCGCCCCACTAGGTCTTGATCAGTTCAATTCTGCTCCCAGTTCTTCAAGGCTTTTTCCTATCAAAGGAGTCAAGAGATGTCAAAAGGGTTCGGTCGAGCATGGTCGTTCGCCCTCTGACCGGCCGTGCCAACCTGGGACACCTTTTAGACACTACCAGCGGCACCTCGATGGCATGCCCGATGGTGTGGCCATAGTTCCTCGGCACCGATGGGCACACCGTTTCACGAAGGCCACAGCGCGACCGGAGATCCAACCGATACACCGTGAGTCACCTCTCTGACCCTCTCCTTTCCACTTGCCACACATTGCTGAAGCTTTTTGCGACTGACTGGTCCCCTCAACATTTGGCGGGTGGGTAGCCTGGACCTCTGTCACCTCTGTCAGCCCTGCACCCTAAGGGTGTCCAACAGCTCCACCAATTGAGGAAAAGAGGTGGCCTTCCACCGTGCCAGGTCGCGGAGTCGTCCAAACTCCAAAAATGAGACGACCCCAAACCCGGGTGGCTTCCGAAGCCCCCCCTTTTTTCCACACCCTCTGAAGCATCAGAGGTAAACACCTCCCATCCGAGGTTAACACCTGCCGCCCCCAGAACCGTCCACATGAAGTCCGTTCGGCTGTGCTTCAGTGTGGCGCGCAGGCCCGTCTCCTTCTCGTCGATGGCCACAATCTCCGCCTTGTGCTTCACCGCCTTGTGCAGCACCTGGCGAACAGGACGGGGCGGATGCAAAAAGTTGCAAGAGTTCAGTGAGTCCAGTGAAGAATCCCTCTGATGCCACTGGGAGAAGAAGTTTGGTGGTCGGTCATGTGGCCAAACAGTAAAAGATATATTCAATAACATCTAATCCAGCATCCTCAAACAGGTCAGCAATTGAGACCTGTTAGGGCCCCTACGTCTCGTCGCTTCGTCCCGGCTCACCGGAAGGTCTAACACAATGCTCACTCCCTCGGTTTAGCTGAAAAACACGGCTAACCTTTCTCCACCTGTTGGCACCCACCCGGCCAAGAAACGCAGAGAAACGCTGCTGACATCTGCTGACACTTCTTGGCAACAGCTAAGAAAAGAAATTGAAGAAACGAATGGAAGAAGAACCAAGTGAATAAAAAAGCATCGCAAACCTCTAGGATCGAAGTACCACCTCCGAAATCTTCGGCAAAACCTGGTTCCAGGTTCGATTCCAAAAAAAGCGAGGTCTCGCATCCCAAGTCTCCAAATGGCCCCACCAGTTTATGGGAAACGTAGGGAAACCAATGCCCAAAGAAAGGTCAAATTGGATGTTATCCACTCTTGGGGAGAAACATGTCGGAGCCAATGGCTCACCCCTCCACCCTTTCATCCCCCCCGCGGTTTCGCCCCTCTGGATTGGCCCCATGCGGAAGCTCAGGGGTAGCTTGGGTGTGGCAACTCCAAAAACCGCACCGCTGAGATCAATCCTGAACTGATTTGGGCCCACCTGATGGTCGAAGTCACAACTGAACCAGGTGAACTGGTCGAGCACACAGATTCCCAGATTCCATGCGCCTATTCTACCATCCCTCCCAGCCAGCCCCACATTCCCAAAAACCCCCAGCTTCACTCGGGCGGACTGTGAGCCGACGGTGGGTGAGACATGGAAGAAATCCAGCACCACATAAACCCTGAAACAACCTAGAACAATCAAATTGCAAATCAGGTGGCTTCTCTATCTCAGCTGCAAGGGGGGGTCCTTCCTGAAACCCTGGTCCTTTTTTTCTTTCACAACCCACGCCATCACAACCCACGCCATCACCCCTCCCCACACGCCATCCCCTACCCCAAATCACCGGTCTCGACCCGCCTCCTGCAGCAGCTGGGCATCCAGTGCGATGATGCGCTCAGCGTGCTCGGCCATGGTCTCGGGCGGCGTCCGACGTCCGCGACGTCGAGTGGACGGCAGTGCCCTGGATGTAGAGGAAATCTCTCATGGTTGGGGAGGGAAAGTATAACACCCTCTCCATCGATCTGGATTGTTACGGCATTTGTCCAACGTGTTTCTTATGATCTTATGGTTGGTTTCATTATGTTTCATTCATCAAGAGTCTACCATGATCCGTTCGGTCCGGATCAGTGTTGTGTGGCTACAGTGAAAAAAATGCACCAAGGTACAGAATCTGAAGCCCTGGGCAGTGCAATGGAAGAAAGTCGTCCATGTTCAGAAGGCTTCTTGCGTTTCTATGTTGCCTCGTGGCATGTATCATGGTGCACCAAGCGCCCCAACCTACAGGTACGCCCGGGAAGATGAACATGAAAGCTGAAAACCCCTGGTTTGGTAGAGGAAACTACCCTTGCAGTCTTGGAGTCTGGTCCATGCCATCAGGTTCCATGTGGGTCTCTTAGCCTGGGTTGATCCACCTGGACGTCGGCCCCCCCTCGCGGCACCAGACACGGTCGACGCGCGCTGCTTGGTTCGAAGTGCACGGGGGGGGTTGAAGATGTCCTGCCTGTGGGGGGTCACGGAGTCCATGAAAACCACCAAACTTGGGCATGGTGCCAGCAATTCTTGAAACCACTGGTATGGGACCCTGGAAAAAATCTTACATGATTTACACTTGGGATGCCATAGGCTAAGGGTTCAACCTGGGTGGAATTCGTTGAGCTCATCCTGCTCGAAATCAGCCTCCGCATGATAGCTCCGGCTGTTGCGTTTGGAACGGCTGCACTCGCCATCAGATTGGCGCTCAACCAACCGACCACAGAACATCAAACAACAAGCTGCTGTGTCTGGTGTGAATGGTCTAGTTTGCCAAAGAGCTGCAACCGTCAAAGGCACCAAACCCGATGTGTGTCACTGAGTTTGGAATGGTCAAGTTCGCCAAAGAGCTGCAATTGACAAAGGCGCCCTGTCCAATGTGGGTCACAGAGTCTGGGACGGTCAAGTTCTCCAAAGAGATGCAATTCTGACAGGCAGCATTGCCAATGTGGACAACTGAGTTCGGGATGGCCAGGTTCGCCAAAAAGGTGCAATTGGCAAACGTGCCAGTCCCAATCTGGGTCACCGAGTTTGAGATGGTCAAGCTCACCAAGGAGCTGCAGTCCCGAAAAGCAAATTCACCAATGTGGGTCACGGAGTCCGGGATGGTCAAGCTCACCAAAGACTTGCAATATGCAAAGGCGACATCCCCAATGTGCGTCACTGAGTCGGGGATGGTCAAGTTCACCAAAGACTTACAATGTGCAAAGGCGGCAGTCTCAATGTGGGTCACTGAGTCGGGGATGGTCAAGTTCACCAAAGAGATGCAACTCTCAAAGGTCTTCAACCCCCTGCACATCACTAGGCATGTGGAAAATTAGCTGATGGGTCGAGGAAACGACCTTAGAACCCAAACCCCCAGCCCACGACCCTCTGAAGAGCCGATTTCGGCCCAAATCCCCAGACCCACGACCTCACGTCCAAGGCGACCCGTGGCGCTGGGACCCGTATCGCCGCTCCGACGTCATACAGACAAGCAGACATCGTTTTTCGGTTTCGCCATGGCACTCTCCCTGCTGCAGCCGAATGGTGAAATCCTGGTTCTTCAAGTCCAGGCAGACACGCGCGCCGGGGAGCTGAAGCAGGAGATTAAACAGAGACAGAGACTTTGCTGGGATGAGATCACTTACAGGACGACAGGTGTGGAGATCATTGTCGGAGACAACCACTTGCTGGCCGATGATGAGAAGATCTTGGAGGCAGGAATTGCTGCAGATGCTGTTGCGACCGTGGTCTTCAAACCCAATCTCGTGATCTGCTCCAATCAAGACACAATCGCCAGTCTTGGTGGTGTTGACTCAGACTTGTTGCTGGTGGTCGAAACCCCAGGCAATGAAACTCAAATACCTGAATTGGCCTTTGCCGGTTGCCCGATTTTAGCCAAAGTGAGAATTGCTCTGCAATTTCAATCAATCAATCAATCACTCACTCACTCACTCAGTCAGGCAGTCAGTCTATCTATCTATCTATCAATCAATCAATCTATCTATCCATCTATCTATCTATCATTATCTATCTATCTATCTATCTATAGCTTAGCTATCTATCGGATAGATTGGGAAAGCATGGGGTTCTGCGCTTCTTGCGATGCCCAAAGCGTCACCCACCGGCCATCGCACCTGGAAGAGCTCGGCATCACGGATGACGCCCATCTTGATGGCTTCAGCCAAGCCCTCCACCACCTGATGTGAGGGAAATCCAACCAAAACGAGGTCGGTCAAGACTCTGGAGTGAGTCCAGCGTTCGGGCCTTGTGATCCTTGTGCCTAACAAGGGGCTAATTCAGCCAAGGCTCCTGGTGAGTCTGTCAAGTGTTCATGGCCTTCGAGGGGCCTAACTGGTGCCAGGGTCCCATCGCCGATGTGGTCACTGTCTTAGAACCTCCCCATCCCACCAACCGACAGAAGGAGGGTCGGAATGTGCTCTCTGCTGGGCGGAAGGTGCCAGAAAGTCAAGTGGCCGTTGCCATCAGAACGTCCATTATCGATTCCTGGAGGTTTTGGATCCAAACGTGGTAAACGTCGGGTCCACCATTCAGAAAACGTAAGACCTTCCAGGTAAGTCACAGGTCTCCTGGTGACCCCCCGCCCCTGACCGCACCTCGCGACGGCTCAAGGTACTCAACACCGTGGGATCGGCAAAAATCACCTCCAGCGGGGTCCCCACTCCATCCAGTCCCGCCACCCAGGAATCTCTTCCAGCACCCTCCAACAGATGCTTCCTGGTGACAACAGGTGCTCAGAAACCACCTGTTAGGGTCTCTAAACAACCTGTTGGAAGGTGCTGGTTTGTGTTTATTCGGTCTTGAATGCTTGAGACACTTGGAGCACTCTGGCCGCTGGCCTATATGTACGGGATTGGCACGTGCCTACATGGAGTCCTTTTCAACCACCAATGTACGTATGGCTTTGGAATGTTGGATCACTCTATGTGCAGAAGAAATGCCTATATACATTGACTCCTCTTCAACCACCCCAACTTTTGGGAAAGACTGGATCACTCTCTTTTTCGACCTGCTTTTTACAGTAATCAAACTTGATGTCTATCAAAAAATATTCGGAAGCCCCGCGGCACGTTCAGCGCCTTAGGCTGGTGGAACGCACCAATGAGGTTCTTCCCCGCCGGCACGTTCAGCGCAGTCTTGCCCCCCACGCTGCTGTCAATCATCGCCATGGTGCTGGTGGGCACCTGGTGAAATGCGACAGGTGCCACGCGGCAGGTGCCATGGGGCGTCTTCTGCCATGGGGCGGGGGGTGGATGGTCTGTGCAAAAAACGGTGGTACATTGGTGGTATATTGTTCTATGAACATACTTGGAGGGATGTTCCAGGAACCTATGGAAGTCCATAAACTGCAAGTGCATGGTCACCTACTTTTGGTAGGGCTCCTCCTTCGAAGCTGCAAGGTTCTAAAAGGATGTGACCCCGCCTGCACCACTGGCACACCGCGCATGTACGTGGCTGCGGTGAAGCCGGCCAAATCACCCACCACGCCACCACCCAAGGCGATGATGGCGGAGTCTCGGGTGCACTTGTGCGATAACATGAAGTCCTGCGCCCCGCCCACCGCGCAGGTGGCGCATCCAAGCGCGGAACGTCCGGTGCGCGTTCCGTCGCTGTGACCGAAGGACACATGGGGGGTGATGCAGTGCACCGGGAGGGCTTAGGTGGCGGGAGGCGAAGTCTGCTCGACCTCACACGATGAATGAGATTCACGTTCATGCGGCTCCGGTGTTTTTGGTCTCCGACCGCGTGGGCCGTCGTGGCGTTTGGAATGTGCTTTGCCATGCTCCGCGCCTCGATTTGCGCCTTGGTCTCCCGGTTCTTCGAGGCCTCGCCGGGCGCGAAGGCAAAGCGCACCAGCTTGGGCGACGCGTCCCGGTCGCCGTAGTGCGCAGCAAAGGCGTTCATCAGACGGTCGCCGTAGTGGCCTCAGGAAAAGGGCTTTGCACCAGCTTGGGCGAAAACGATGTCGAAACGTAGAAAGAGCTGGCTGAGTGCAGAGGTGCAGAACTCAAAGTAGAGCAGGTATATAAATCTTCTGGTAGACTCTGCTTGGGTTTCACCAAATGTCTTGTTTACAAACTTCTAGGTGCTAGCTGGGAATGATGAATCCATGACCGCTATGTTCGGATGGCTTGCTCCACCGCCAATTCCCCAAATTTCTCGGGGGGCGGTCAGCTTCGCCACGCGAAGAAAGCTGCGGCTCTGGTTCCGCCTGATTCGCACGGTTTTTGAGGCGCCATCAAGACCAAGTGCGGTGAACCCAAAGAGCTGCAATTCTCAAAGGCCCCACTCCCGAGATGGGTGACTGAGTTTGGGATGGTCAAGCTTTTCAAAGCGCAGCAATTCTGAAAGGCACCATCTCCAATGTGGGTTACGGAGTCTGGGATGGTCACGTTCACCAAAGAGTTGCAATTGGAAATGGCATCCGGATCAATATGGATCACTGAATTTGGGATGGTCAAATTCACCAAGGAGCTGCAATTCGCAAACGCTTCCTTCCCAATGTATGTCACTGAGTCGGAGAGTTACAGTAAGTTCGCCCAAGGAGCTGCAACCTTGAAAGGCGCCCTTTCCAATGTATGTCACTGAGTCTGGGATGGACAAGGTCACCAAAGAACTGCAATTTGCAAAGGCGTTCTGGGTGGGTCACGCTGTCCGGAATGGTCCAGTTCGCCAAAGAGCTGCAGTGCCGAAAAGAACCAGAACTGAGCCTGGGATGGTCAAGTCTGCCAAAGAATGGCACCATGCCAAAGCATGTAGGTCACTGAGTTTGGGAGCGTCAAGCTTGGCACGGAGCTGCAACTCTGCAAGGCAGAAATCCCAATGTGGATAACTGAGTCTGGGATGCTCAAGCTCGTCAGAGAGTTGCAGTTGTAAAGGCACAATTCCCAATATAAGTCACTGAGTCCGGGATGGTCAAGTGCGTCAAACAGCTGCAATTCACGAAGGCGCCATTTCCAATGTGGGTCACTGAGTTGGAGATGCTCAAGCTTGTCAAGGATCTGCAATCCTGTTCCGATGTGGGTCACCGAGTCTGGGATTGTCACTTGAGTTCAACTGTGGCAACCCACAGACCTAGTAGAGGACGCTACTAGGAGCAAAGGGCATCGCTACGAGGAGCAAGGAAGCTACTAAGGGGTTCCTGGCCTTACTACGAACATGGACGCTCAATGACGCTACTAGGAGCGTCCTTCGGAGTTCGACCAGTGCTCGACGCCCGAGTCACAACTGGCGACCGCATCTTGGGTGGAGCATCTTACAGTGTTTGGTCTAAAAGCAGCACTCACAGCAGCATCTGCAGCAAGCCCTGCATCCAAGACCCTTGCGTCATTCGCCAGAATTTGGTCTTCCCAAGTCATCTCATCCCAGCTCGGCTGTCTCTCGCATGTGTGGCTTCTTACAACCGGTGCACCAAGCAGACTTCTCAAGTTTCCTCCGCGTGGGCGGAAAAGCTTGAGTTCTCGAGTTCTCCGCTCGACGACTCGATGCTCGGTCATCGAAGAAAGACAGGCCACGAAGGCGGATGGATTTGTCCCAGATTTGGTGCAAGAAATCCCAACTTCTTAGAACAGCCACTTCTGCTGCATGTGGACCGCTTCACGACCCAGTTCAGCGGATTCGGGTGTGTAACCACCCAGCTTTTAGGCCCAAGATGCCGGGTCTCCAACAGGTCTCCTCGTTGGTTTGGGAAGGACCCTAGGAGGTCTCATCGAATTGCTGGACCTGTGAAGTCGTATGCTGGTGGATGTTTCTTTCCACCCCACCAGCTCCACCCCCGCCGTCTGGGGCAGAGACCGTCCACCGTCTTGTCGCTGACCATGGCCTCACAGCTTCGGAGCTTCGGACTGCTTCGCTCGCGCGGATGTTTGGTGGAGGGGATGGGTGAAGTCCTCACCCTGGTGTTTAGATGAGTGGCAGGCATGGCAGCCATAAGGGACATGAGCGTAGCATGGCAGTCATCCTGCCATCCGTCCAGGTTGAAGGGTCCAGGGCGAAGGATGTCCGCAACATAGAAGAAACAAAGAGTCGCGTTTTCATGGCAGGCACTGCCCATATGGGCCCGTGAGTTCCAGTTGATTTGATTAGGTGGCGGAGTGGCTTCATCTTCACTCTTCTTGTGAAAACATGGGTTGGTCTTTAGTCCCCTACTCCATCCATCCCTCCATCCCCATAGTCATCTGCCCAGTCGCCAAGGCGGCTGGCTTCACCCCGCAGGCCTGAAGCCGGGTGGCACACCCAAAGAAAACGGTTGGGTTGGAAATACACGTATCATGGAGTGGACTGTTGATGAATAAGACTCACACACCCTAGCTAGATGGTCCAATCTCTCCCCATGGCGCATGTTTATTCAACCATATTCTATACTGTAACAAGGAAAAATAACGTTGGGGCGTTCAGTGGGGCCCATATTTAATTTAAATAATGTTGTAAAAAAATGCGTGATCTTACGTTTGCGCCACTTCCCGGTGTCAACCCTTTTGTAGGAGAGAACGCTTGGATCTCATGGTTCTTGGATCGGGCCCCTGAGGAAAAAGAATCCTCCTGGCCGCCGGCCCGAAAACAAAGTGCTTTGGAATCGGCAGTGGCTCCTGTGACCTGTTCCACGCTCCGTGGCACCCAACCATGCCCCCAAACCTCTTCTCCTGTCGGTCCCGGGAGTTCGGCGGGGCCGTGCCTCCAGCCGTGCTGGGATCTCTTCGAGCAAGCCCGGAGCGATGAGCACCCGGCTGTCTCCGATCACCTGGATCTCCTGCGGAGAAACCGAGTTGGGTGACGTGGGCGGACCCCTCGAGTTGGACCGCTCCGGCCATGGAGGGCGGGTGACTTGGGTGTAGCCACTCGAGAGAGACTGACCAGTTCAAAACGCCAGAACCTTTGGGATTTGCTGGGGTTGGCAATGAGAGAAAGGAGGAGTGTGTCTATATTCCGTGGGCGTTTGGTCACAAGCGATTCTGCCAACCCCACCAGTTTTCCACGAGCTTCAACTTCAACAAGCTCGCCTGGCAACACCTTCGTGACCTTAACCCACCCCACTGAGGGTGAACCATCTCAGACCATCTCTCACCCCTCTTGCACAGGTGGCACCGGTTTGTAACCAGAGCCTTCCCGGTGCAGAGGCTCCTTGACCTTCGTCCCGGCGCGCGTAGGAGGTGGAGATCGAGATCGAGCACCATTCGACATGCCGTCGTGGTTAGAAGTCGGCCCACGGGTTTGCAACGCGTGCGAATTTCAGCACGTCCTGAAACACAACCTCACTTTTTTCGTGTTTCTGGGCTAGTAACGGCTAGTAGAACCGCCCGGTTTTTTGCAGTGATTGAATGTGATTGAGGTTCTTTATTGAGACCGTGCAAGTGGCCCTTTTTGACGCTGAGCCGATCAGGTAGAGTCACAACATGCTGAGCCGATCTGGCGCGGTGTATTCGTCAGCTGACGCGCTGCTGATGTCTTGCAATTCTATCTTCAGTTTGCATATTGTGTGGATGTAGGTATAGACATTAGTCGACACATACACTCTATATTACAGTATGTACGCCAAACCTCTTCGCACATACACTGCCCGCCACTTTTAGGACAAAAGCATCTGAAAGATTCTGAAAGGCGACGAACCCAGGCATCCCTCCATCTCCATCCGCTCCATCCGGCCTGTGCAAGGCCTCTGCATCCATGGGCCGCATCTCTTCCACGAACCAATCAATGCCCTTCTCCTGGCGAAAACCAATTCCGTCCCACCCTGGGAAGACTCCCAAGTCGGAGCAAGGTCTCGAATTCCAACAGATGAGGGAGGCATCTTCGACGGCCAATGAGGAAGGCCTCCATTTGTAGGTTTGAAACTCGCCCCAAAACGCTCAGCCATCGTAATCTGGTGCACCAGCCTGTCTGCCCGCACCAACGCACGGACGCGTCTGCATGCACGAACACACGTCCTCAAAAACATCCCCCTGCCATTGCGGGGGGCAATGTCTACCCGCCCATCATGCCACAAACCAACTGGAAAAAATCTTTGTGCTCCCTGCGCTCTCCGTGCCCCAACTGCTGGTCGCCTGAAAGGCCTTGGCCAGGTCCTGGCTGTGAAGTCTGAATCGACTGACAAGTGGTTCTCTGATGAGCCAAGGATTGGGGCGTGGCGGGATGTGGGTATCAAGTGGTATGAACAAAAGTCCGTCTGTTGAGTCTGAACCCAGTTCATCATCCCAAGGAGTCCCAAGACTTCCCTAGACTTCCGATGATTTCCGGCTCTTGCTCCGGAGGTTTTCAGGTGAGAGCAGAGATAGATGGAAGATTTGAGGAAATCGCAGGCACTCCAATGGACCCAGAGACCCTCACGCAATCTCAAGCAAGACCACTCTACATGAGGGATTTGAAGTCTCATGGGTATCCATGAAGACCTCACAGCTGCCTCAACATTCAGAAAACAGATCCGAATTCGCCATCAAATATGTAGGTGCACGTTGTGAACTGATCCGTTTCAGGCCTATATGTCATTCCGAATGAACCCCAGTCGTTCGGCCGGATGGACACCTGAAAGCTCCACTCGCGCGCGCAAGCCAGGAGCTCATCCTGGTGCTTCTGCAGTTCCTGGCCATGGAAGTTCTTCAAACACCTACAGAAACTCCATCTTATCTCACTACCTTATGGCCTTATGGCCTATGGCCTCTCCCAATATCTACCTGAGTTGGGAGCCCCATACCCGTCTCCATAGCTCTCTCCAAAGCTCGTTGAGGGCCTCTGATTCACCACCCTTAAATGGGTGTCGGCTGAGCCAAGCCAGCAGCCAACCTCCAAGGAGCCGCCCACTTCTCCTGGCCCTTCTTCACGATCTCCAGAGGCCCCAAAAAGGTCCAAAATCAGCCGAGCCCACAGAAAATAGAAACAGAGAGAGAGGATTCATGAAAAAGACCCCAACTTCCGCTCATCAATATGAATACCAGGTGCTGAAGACTGGTTTCCAACCTGAGTTGAGCCAGACTTTGAAGGCTGCTACCACACCAAAAGATGGAAGGTGTCCAGCCTAACCCAGGGACCAACCGACCGTCATCAGATTTCTTTCAGAGACCTGTGCTTCAGTGCGTTGGTGACGATGACCCTCTGCTGAGCCGATCCCCGATGGGCTAAGGCGGGCGCGAGAAGGTCTGGCGAGAAGGGTCAGTTGGGCATACATACCCCATTACCAATAACCGTGGACGTGGACGTGGATGATGATGAGGATGATGATGATGATGATGATGATGAATATGAATGATGATGATGATGATGATGATGGTGATGATGATGATGAATGATGATGAATGATGATGAATGATGATGAATGATGA